TTACTAAATAATCTATGTAGCAATTCCGTTGATGTATTTATGTTGGCCCTAATAGTTTCTGCTGGGATACCATCTGGACATGCCGCCTTTCCTTCCTTGAGAAGATTGGTAGCTTTTCTAATTTCCTCCTTAGATGGTATCTCACAGTTGATAACCAGTTCCATTTCTAAAGGCAGGATATCAGGAGGAACCTCTGGGTCTGGTCTATTTAGAAGTATTTCAAAATGTTCCTCCCATCTGTCCATTTGATCTTTAGTGTTAGCAAGCACCCGTTTTTTGACTATTTTTCATTGATCCAGTTGGCTGACCATATTTAAATACTAATTTTCTTGTGTTACTGTAAAGGTATCCGACGTTTCCTTTTGCTGCTGCCGCCTCCGCTTCTTGTGCTAAATTATTTAGATATTTCACTTTATCTGTCCTTATATGCCTCCTAACTTCCTTATTGGCTTCTGCGTATTTTATCCTGAGCTCTAGTTTTAGCCGCTCTATCTAGTTTTGCTATTGTTTAAGTCTACCTTTTTACTTTTCCTCTCTTTAATCAACTCAGTGGTTTCTTGTGTTACCAAAGCTTTATGCTTCCGTTCTTTCTTACCAAGAACTTCTACACAAGATTCATTCCAGATTCCTTCGATCTGATCCCAGCAAACTTTAGTGCTTTCATCTTTAGCTAACTGCTGCAACACCTGGTACTTATTAGAGAATGTTATTGAAAATTGTTCCTTAACTTCTTTATCCCTGTGATAACCTACATTATACCGGTTTCTATGATTATGAGATGATATGTATCGTTTGTCGGCTCTGTGGCTAAGTCGATGCGAACGCTTCGTAATGCCGGGATGCCTGGTTCGATCCCATCTGCGGGCCACGCGCCTTGCGTTGGTTTCGACTGTGGTATCAAGAAAGCCGATAGTCCAGAAGCAATGGCAAACTACTGGATGTAAACTTGCCTAGATAAACCACACAACAGCAAGGGGCTGTTAAGATTGGTTCTGCAACGTCCTGTAAAGGATACGCAACTAACCAATGTATCGTTTAAGTTTCAACTTGATTTTACTTACCAACAGAAATGGTCAGTCAATACATCGGCACATCTAAAAGCTATAATATGATTAAGGAATAATCTAAACTTTTTGTTAATACATAGGTGATCAATTTGATTGGTTATCTTATTGTCTGGTGATTCCTATGTTGCCTTATGTATTATTTTATGAGGAAAAATACTTCCACCAATAATATACAAAATTGTGAATAATTCTCCATTTTGATTCATTACTCCCAAACCATGTCTTCTCATAATCTCTTCATAACCTGTGTTATCTAATCCTATCTTAGCATTCAGTTCACTCATCAAAAATTTTATATTGCACTTTCTTTTATTATTCATAATATTTTGAAGCTGCATGCAAAATTCTTCCTTAACTGATCTATATGTATCATTTGTTGTTGCATAACACTGTCTTACCAACATGTTCACCTTCTGTTTTGCTGTTCTAAATTACGCTTTTATTATACACCAGTTTCCCGTTATATTAGTGCCCTGTTTGCATCAGGGCCACTACTTCAATTTTCCTCCGTGTGTCCTGAGAACAAAATAGGTTCCCCTAAATTTAGAATACTTTCCCCGCCCCAGTCAATCTAGTTTCACATAACCCTAAAATACTAATTCTAAAATGTTTCATTTCCCTTACTACTTCTGTTGTGTCTATAGTGCCCAACATTATTATGTGGTTGGAAAAAAAGGGGGGGGGGGGGATTTTAATCATGAAAAAGAGTACGGTGAGCACTGTACTCTATGCAGTGTCTAAAAGCAGCTACTAAATAAAGTGAAGATGAAAAAGAAAATAAACTGTACATTTTATATTGTGAAAGTTAAAACCGATTCGTATTGTTGATGAAGATGTAAACTTACAATAAACAATAATAAGTTGCTAAGACACACATACACAAACACAAAATCATGTACTGCTATATGTTTTTAATCACAAGATGGAACAGATAACAAATGTAAACATGACCAAAGCTGGTGAGAATACCCCACAACACTGAAGTGGAGGTGCAGGACAATGAATGACACAGAGTAATAAATAGATTCAGAAAGTAGTTTACATTAGTATGTACATATAACATCTCACATCATATTAAAATAAACAACATTTTTAAAGAGATTATTAATAATGAACATGCATTGTTTTGACTAAAGAGTTAATAACTTTTAAGAAACTCGTGAAGATGTCATACTTTTTTTTTTAAACAAAACAAAAAAAAAAAAAAAAAATTGGAAATTCAAATGAGGTTTTAAGGTTTTGAACAACGGATCAACATCATGGCACACGAGTAGTAACCCATGTGCTCCGTTCTCCTTCTAACTCAAGTATGTCCGATACATCTCAGCACAGGGCACAGGCTCTGTAACAACGGCGTGGATCCTGAAATACTTACTTTGGGTAATTTTTTTTTAAACTTTGGCAGCGCCGTTAGGCTATTTTTTTAGATTTCCAACTGTCAAGGAATTTTTTTTACACGCGCAACAATGCACACAGGCGTCCGATTTCACTACCCTGAGACAAGGGGAAATTACAAGTAGAATTCTAAGTCCGCGTGGAAAGATAACAGCCCTTACCGGGAATTGAATTCAGAACCTCTAGCACTCGAGGCGGACATCATACCACCAGACCATGCAGCCCTCAAATAAAATGATAGATAACAGAAATTGTGTCAAATAGCTGTGAGATAGCTACTTGCAGGTACAGAATACGAAACAACATTTACATGTAGAATATTGATGGAGAGAAACATTACACGAGAACAATAACCCCAAACAGATTTTACTCATACCATTCACCACACATTCAGTTAATTTAAAAAGAAAACGTCTTTGTTTTACCAAACAGATTTAGACAAGTACAAAGGAAATTTATTGGAAGTAAAAGTAACTTGTGCTACCAGATCATCTTCCAGTACCAATATTTATATGCAAATGGAGTTAGCAGCATCAATGACAAATCCAGCGCTCTCAATGGAACAGAGCAATTTTGTTTCAAGCTGTAGCTATTGCATTACTATCAGGCCTAAAGTCTATGTATACATGTTTCAGTTTTCAAAAGTTCAATGATATAAACTAGTTAAATAATCAATTGAGGCTAGAAGTAGGGCTGTACCGAATATTCGCTTCGTACTCACTTCGGGGCCGAATAGTGGACCTAATAACTATTCGGTATTCGGCCGTATAGTTGCGGTCGGGCCGAATACGAATAGTGGTTACCTTAAACCCGTTTCTGGACTGGTGGAAAAAAAACTTCAAGATTTCCCACCTTGGTTCACACTGTCAAGCGTTATTTTTGTGCACCACCTATGAGCGTACCAAGTGAAAGTCTGTTTAGTGCAGCTGGAAATACCTTCAGTCAGACAAGAAGCTGCCTTAATGCTGACAACATGGAGCGATTGTTTTTTTTTTTTGTTTTTTTTTTTTTTTTGAAAGCTTATGCCGCTTTCATGGATTAACTAAGCTGTCAGTGACAATTTACAAGATTAGTTACTTGTTTTAAACTAAGAATACTATCATTCCTAGGTATTAGTTACCACAGACTGACTGACTGACTGAAGGATGCAAAACATGAAATGTTTTTAAATGTTTACTATTCTGTACTATATTTTGTGAAGTACATTTTTTTGCGTACATTTGACATTATTACATTTTATTATTCCTAAATGTGTAATAAAAGTCAATGGTTTTTTTGGGGGGACAAGTACAGAAATTTAAGTATCTGGGCACATGGATAACGTCAGATGGAAGATGCATTACTGAAATAAGAAACAGAATAGGACAGGCAAAAACCGCATTTTATAAAATGAAGAATATCTTATGCAATATATCTTTGTCATTGAAGGTTAGAAAAAGAATTCTTGCTTGTTACATGCATCGAGTTTTAACAAATGGCTGTAAGTTTCTTGAGGCCTCAGAGATGTGCTTTTACAGACACACACACACAAACACCGACACATACTCGTTTGTGTGTGTATATATATATATATATATTATTAATATATATATATATATATATATATATATATATATATATATATATATATATATATATATATATATAGAGAGAGAGAGAGAGAGAGAGAGAGAGAGAGAGAGAGAGAGATGGGGGAGAGACAAAGAAATTGGCGACGAAGTTGAACACTAACTTAGCTCTTTCAGTCACAGTTGTGTGTGTATGTGTTTTTTTTTTTTTAACTTTACTGTTTAATGGACTGATATAATAACACTTTGTTTAATAATGGTTCAAATAATACTATTATGTGACAACAGAAGATGAAATAACAAATGTTATAGGATGATTTCATTAAAAAAAACTGGCAAGGACACAAGAAGTTGATTAAAACATTCCATGAAACGAAATATATGCATGGTCACTTCGTTTCACTTCGTCGATTTTGGATGCATTAATAAAATAAATTAAAAAAAAAAATAGATTTGTGACATCTTGATTTTGTTTTTCTTAATAAACGACGGAATGACTTTCTGCCCCCGACATTGTTAATTTAGCCATTGTTGTTAGGAATCGACTTTATAAAATAGAGTCTAACGACGAACCCTTGGATCCATCAAAGATGCAAATAGATGAGAATCGTGAGTGAGAAGACAAAACAAAACTGGCAATCTACTTTAACCATTGGTCACCAACATTATGAGGGCTAATAGATTGAAGTGGCCTGGGCATACACAGAGAATGTCAGATGACAGATTGGTTAAAAACTGTGTACACAAGGAAGTTGAATGGTCGCCGATCACGAGGCTGACCAAGAAAACAGTGAAGAGATAATTAATATCCAGCCTTAATTATAAACACTTAGTGTTGCCAACTAGAAAGAGAAGACCAACCATATAAAGGAATGGAGACGGGCGATGTCTGCAGCAATGAACCCTAGGGCCTGGAAATGCTGAACAAGAAAAACAAATTAGATATAAATAGCTATGTGTGTGTTGAAAACTAATCTTCAAGTTCTGGCTCGTATTTATCAAGTCTCCTGCTAATCTCTGGCCCACTGGGGCGCAGTTTTGGATCCTGGTTCCAGCACTGTTTTATCAGGTCAGCCCAGAATGTGGTAGGGGGGTGCACCATTGATAGACTCGGTCGCCAGCCACCTAACATTGCAGTCTGAAAATTTAATAATAACAACAATATACATATGGTTAAATAAAATTACCAAAAGAGCAAAGATAAAAATCAAAGGAAATATCTCACACATGGACGATACACACAGTCTCTCTCTCTCTCTCTCTCTCTCTCTCTCTCTCTCTCTCTCTCTCTCTCTCTCTCACACACATGCAAACAAACACACACAAAACCCTTTCCTACGCCTTTAGACGTACTGGGCATATAGGGCTGGTCCTATGTTATAAACACCGATCGTCACCTAGTGGATGATGTGGTCAGCATCACGTCGGCCACCTTTACTTCCATGGACTGCACATGGTACCCACTCAAGGCTGGGTCTACGTTTGAGCCAAGGTCATTTTAAAAAAATGTCGCACTCCGTCAGGACCAACCCAGGACTTTCCGATCCGCAGGCTAGCGTCTAGCCGCTACTACTCCGCGGCGACTTCTCACACAACATTTACACACGTATATTTTATACATACTTACACATAAGCACGTACTAACACACGAAGCCCTTTCAACACGGTAAATGCATCAGTAACAGTAAAACAAGCAGTAAATACCCCATTTAGCGCTTTTAAGCGTATTCTGCACGTATATCTAGACCTATATTTTGTAGACCAATCGGCACACGAATGTATCAGCCGAGTGAAGTAAAGGACCATTTTCGCCTGATCGGTCAATGCACATTCTAGTCAGGTTCTATATTTTGTAGACAAACCACCGTTCGGTGAATGATCGATGGGCCAATATCAAATAGGCTCCCTCAAAATCGATAAATATTTTATCCTTATATACGAAAGTGAATCACTAACTGTTGGCGGTTGAATAGACAAATTATGAGAACACACTAGAAAGATTTTAAAAACACAACTAATGGGGATGACTTGAAAGAATCTGACCCATGAAGGGAACTGATTGCTCACATAAGAAGAAAACAATTTACATTTTTGGCTATTTCTTGAGGAGGACAAAACTGGAGTGTATTGTAACTAACGGTGGGAAGGTTCCAGGCAAAAAAGTGGCAAAGTCAACACCGATAGAGAAGATGCTAGGCAGTTTGACATTATAGAAAAAAAAAAAAAAAATCATTTCTTAAAACTGACTGAAAATACATGAGACAGAAGGTTGTGGATAGATATATCTACCAAACGGTACTGACATGTAGCATCAGAGCCGCTCATAAGGAGTTGCTACCAAAGATAAATTTGAGAGAATCGATTTTATTGTACTGGGCTCAGTCTCTCCCTCTGCAGAACAGTAAAGCTGCTTGCCGAGAGCGTAGCACAGAGCACGACCTTGCGTATCATCGGCGACGATCCCGAGGAATGCGTTGGTGAACTGAAAGGCACCGCCGTAAAACGAACCCACGACCTTTAAAGAGTACGAGGCAAGCGGAATGACTACTTCGCCACTGAAACACCCTAAGGAGTTGCTATTAAGAAGAATGCTTTAAATCAATTGCTCTCAACCTTCCTAATGCCGCGGCAATTTATTACAGTTCCCTCAAGTTGTGGCGACTTAAAAACAATTTGTCCCTTCATAGATTTCATGAATATGTGTTTTCCGATGGTCTTAGGTGACCCATGCGAAAGGGTCGTTGGACCCCCCCCCCCCCCCCCCCCAAAAAAAAAAAAAAATAGGTCGCGACTCCCAGGTTAAGTACCGCTGCTTGAAATCATGAACTAAAAAAAAAAGAAAAACGGTTCCATTGTCACGTTCTGCGCTAATTCTGCAGATGCTTTATAGTCAACTGCTTCTTGGTGACCTATATGACAGCGACTTACATCCCCTACACTTTCCTGACACCCATTATCAGAAACGGAAACCGCCGTGATAAAGAGGCTAGACATTCGCCTGAGGATCGGAAGGTCGTTGCTTCTGGTCCTGACGAGCAAGACTATATTCAAAAATGACATTGGCTGTCAGGTCGACCTAGTCTTAAATTGGTACATGGGAAGTAACGGTGGCTGGCGTGATGTTTACTACATTACCCATCGAGTGTCGACAAGTCTATAACATTTAGGTATAGCCCTATATGCCCAAATACGCATGCAAGGTGGCCGAATAAGTTTCAGACGTGTGTAGGGTTCTAATCACGTTAGGTCGTGAGTGCAGAGACTGGCCAGCTGGTGCTGCAGAATCAGAAGCTCAACAAATCATTCATGGCAATTCCCACCCAAGTGATGTGCTTATCTAAGCAGATGGCTCTGTGTTGAGGGGCAGACGAAGTGCATAGGGTTTCGTAGCAAAGGTGAATAGACATCGCCTAGTGCAGCAAAGCCTTGCATATAATATCACAACGTTTATGAGGTGGAGGCAGTCGAGCGCTACCTTCCACCCACTTGATAATCAGCTGCACACATGCTGTGATTGTACCTGACTCACAGAGCATGTTGAGAATGGTGAAACAGGCGTGCTTCGTGCAGAGTGGCAAGCATCACTTTAGATGCCCCGGGTAGTTAGCATCCTTTAGATATTTTCTTTGGTAATGCCGGTGTATTGGGAAATGAGCAGGCACATAGACTGACTGGCTCTGAGCCACTTGGTGGTGAATTGATATATGGCAAGTTAGATATTGAAAGGGCCGTTCGGGAGCAAGTAAGTGATGACGCAGATAAATCATTACGGTTTAAGGAGAATGACCGTGCGAGGAGTTACCAGGGGATTTGGCTGACGCTCAACACTCAGGGGAAGGATGGGACAGATATAGAATCAGACGGTTACTAGTACCATCGGAATTGGAACTCTTCGCTTGCTGCTGAAGATTGGGTATGAGCACTTATGGAAGTGTCCCGAGTTCGGTAATGTCGAATCTTAATGCAGCATTAAACATTCAACACACGCATGCAGACGTGTCAAGTATCATTTACTTTACATTGTCAGACGACTTGTTCTGTCAGCCAAACTAATTTTAATCCATCTTAAAGGAGATTCGAACGTTTTACTACCTCCCCAGCTGGCATGCGTAAGGTATTGCTCTGCTGCATCTCACTTTGAAATAATTTCAGTTTTTACCTGTAATTTTTCTGTAATCTCCGAGGAGGCATATGTTACCAGATCTTTCCCATACCACAACTGCCACATGATCATGCCGAAACTGTCAATAGAAAAAAAAAAACATAGATAACACTCACATTGATGTTTGTCATTAGAAATACTAATAATATGTAATGAAGAGGCATAATTCCAGATTATGATGGACGATCACTCAGAGACAATGTCTCGAATGCCGAATTTGCGTATAAGCGCGTGTGTTATTGTTTTTATATAAGCCGCGAAAAATGATTTGGAAAACGAATTTACTATTTCGTCGCATTTTCTTCCAATACTCTGACAATGTCAGGCGGCACAATCCTTGAGAGGATTCCAGAGCGATGCTACAGTATCCGTTATGAGCATCTTCTAGTTGTACCTCTTCTTCGTCACATAAACAGCCCGTGATTCTCGTACATACTAAATCATTATCAAGTTACCTTACCAGCTGGCGTAGGCGTTCATGCATATCTACAGATCTCTGTATTTCATGTTCTGGATCAATTCCACTGGTTATATCCTCCATGCCACTGTCTAAAGCCATCCACCATCTTGGGCTGCCTCTGCCTCTTCTACCAGTAATCTTTTCAGTCGTCCTAAATAAATTTATGTATCATAGATGGGAGTTATCCCACTCCCTTCATTATCGTATATCCTATATCACATGCAGCTGAGGAAGGCGTTCAGTAATCCCTACAGTTCTCTGTCTCTGGATCGAATCCAGTGATAATTTTCCTTTATGCCCCTGTCTTAAGCCATCCACCATAAATTCTCTTGATCTGCCTCTGCCTCTTCTACCCGTGATCTTTTCAGCCGTCCTCATTACGTATCTGTTTTCTTAACTGAGTCAAAACAGCGGTCTATTGTGTTTCTCTTTTCATTGCTTTCTAACTTTAGACAGTGATTGGTGATTTTCTGGCTGCGTCTCCTCGTGGTGTGTCCAGTATATTCCCATATCATTGCTTCATTTAACAGTAGAGCCATATTTCCTCCTTGTGTCGAAAGGAGGAATTGGTGGGGGAGGAGGGGGGCAGGGTTTCTGAGTTAGGGATGTTGCTATGATCAGTGTCCTGACAGGAAAAGCATCGCGCTTTCTGTAGGCAATGAGCAATGGGTATTTTAATATGGGTGGGGGAGGTGGGGGGAAGGTAAAAAGTCAATTACGGCATTAACTAATCATATCCAGATGCCGAGACTGACAATGACATATAATATATATATATATATATATAGAGAGAGAGAGAGAGAGAGAGAGAGCTTTTTGGGACTTTGACATCTATTGCGACATGATCTGTCTCAAAGCATGAAAGCCCTCCATCGAAAAGTGCCATTTATTTTATTTTTTCGACCTACTAGATTACCAGGTAAGAAATTAATAGAGACTGTAAGAATAACTAGATGCTACAATTTAGCAAACAGCTCTGTTCAGAAAACTAATGGTAACTTAAAAGTAAAGAACCTCTTTTCACGCCTTCAGATGTATTGGGTATATAGGGCTAGACATATATTTTATACACAAACGTCACTTTGTGGGTGAGGCAGTCAGCATCACGCCGACCGCCTTTACTTCCCAGGACTACACCTGGTACCCACTCAAGGCTGGGTCTACATGGAAGCCAAAGTCATCGTTTGTTTCAAAAAATCAGACTCACGTCAGGACCCGAACCTACGACGGCTCCCCAAAATAATGGGTACATTATAAATTAAGAGCCTTACCCTACAAGATCACAAGTAATTAAAAGAAAAAGGCAAAACTATTCATATTCAGTACTGTAGCATACCAAACCACGGTCAATGAAATTAGTACTTACACCAAAATACGATCAAATTACCTGTAAATATCAACTTTCGTGTTACTTTTGTCAGTTTGTAACAACGCCTCAGGAGCCATGAAGATTGGCGTTCCAGAAGCCTCTAGTTCTAATTCTTTCACCTTCTTTGCAAGACCAAGATCTGCTATCTTTGCCACATCTTGGATATTTAGCTAGTATGCAAAAAAAATATTTTTGTTAGGGTATAATATTCATTATAATTAGTTATTATTGATGGTGGCCATAAGGTTTTGTCAGATCGGTTACGTAAAGTCTTTATCATCCTCCTCCTCCTCCTCATCATCATCATCCTGTGTGTACCATTAGACGTCAAATACATCTCACATTGCATTCGTTCCACTCCGATTTGTTGCCTCCTACTCTCTCGAATTGGAGTTAAGCCCAGCGATTTTAGCTTTTTAGTATTATTGTTCTTCTTAATGTTTCCATTGCGGCGTCCTTGGCTTAGGTGTTGCTTGTCCAACGTACCGCGATCGAAACCGACTGCTGGCTGCGTTAATTGTTATCATTGTATGGGGCGTCGCAGGCCGACCCAGCCTAAAATGGGTACCAAGATGGCCGTCCTGGGGAAGTAAAGACGGCCGGTGTAATGCTGACCACATTACCCACCGATGCCGATGGTCTGTAAAAATATGGGCGCTCTTCCCACACACCTGATACGCCTAAAAAGGATCTTTACTTTTAGTTTAATGTTTCCCTTGGGCGTGCTATTTTTATCAGACCGTTTACTTCCCATTTTAATTTTCTTTTTTTTTTGTAATTCATTGTTCATTTCGTCTCAGACTGTGCTCAATATATCTCCACCTTCTTTGTCTTTTTGCACTCGATAAAGGTGTTTGTCCAGACTTCTAAAGTCTTCCCTGTTATATAAAATCTAAGTATATTGCTGTGTCAAGATTGCTATTAACAGTTTAAACAAAATTAAATTTAAAATACTTTTCCATAGTTATCAATTATTTTGTGTGGTATTCACATAATGTAGGTTCCAGACGCTAGCTTTCCCACTTCGTCGTCATGAGTTCACATCCGCAGCAAGGCAAATTATTATTTTTTTCTTTTTAAAATTAACCTGGTCTTCCACGTTGACCAGGAATAAAAATGGGACTGCATGGTGAGTACTGACACCAGATGTAGGCGCCCCGGTAACCCACTGAATGCATATCGGTCTATTGGTCTATGTGTCTGACAACCTTTGCTACCTATTGCTCTAGCAGTCTTTGTCTTCCTCTTCTTTGCATTCACCAGCTGTAAACTCTAGCGGAAAGTTCTGGTTTTTCGTCCACTTATGGACTGCAGTCCTGTTCCAGAACTTGAGTATTGTGTGTGCATCCTTTTGACAGATCTGACAAATGTGTATGCAGACTGTTGGTTTCTTGCCTCTCGGGAAGATGCACTTCGACTTTGAAGAAGCTCAAAATTAATCGACTCTTACGACATACTTTTATCTAGGCAGTGGGTCTATTCGTGTTTTACCTATAACAGGGCCCCGCAAGGCACACGGGGAGCTCTAGCAGTGAAAATTATCTTTAACCGTAAAACGACAAATGACTAGACACATTTACACAAGTACAGAAAGAATAAATAGAACTGTTCTAAAGCTCTTATGTTTTGCTATTAGATCAGTTGTCATGGGTTAACATTTAACACACAGTTGATGTATGGGCCATTATAGCAGCTTAGTCGCTTGCTTGCTAGCTTGAAGGTCCGAATCTTCCTCTGAGGTTTTTCTTTTGTTGTTTAATAACTTTCATTTGCTCCAGGTAAAGTTGGCCCACGAATTGTTCTAAGATGTAAAGATGTCTGTGATTTCATTAGGCAATTTTTCATTCAGTAGTTTGCCTTTGTTAAATTAACAGTTGGCTCCTGATGCCACTGTCGAAACCAAAATTGTTTTTAATGAGTTTTTCTATAATTGATTTAAAATGTGGTTGTAACATGTGTTTAGGAGGTTGGAAAAGAAGGAAGCTAGGTATTCTGCTGCCATGTTATATTATATTATATTATATTATATTATATTATATTATATTATATTATATTATATTATATTATATTATATTATATTATATTATATTATATTATATTATATTATATTATATTATATTATATTATATTATATTATATTATATTATATTATATTATATTATATTATATTATATTATATTATATTATATTATATTATATTATATTATATTATATTATATTATATTATATTATATTATATTATACTTTGGCCTATTTAATGTGAGAGCATTTTAAAGAGTGAGAGTCGCCGTGGAGCAGCGGCTAGACGCCCGCCTGCAAGTCCAAAATTCGGGGGTTCAGATTCTGACGAAGCCAAAGCGTTTTATTTTGTCCTTAAAAATATCACCTTTGCGTCCAGGTTGATCCAGCCTTTATAGGAAGCCAGGTATATTGCTGGAAAGTAAAGGGGTCCGGCATTATATTACCACATCTCTCACCGAGTGACCGTAGGTCTATGAAATATATTTATTGCACACAGCATGTAGGCCTTGAACAAGAAAGGTCCTTTACCATTTCTAGAGACTCCCAGGTCGACCCAGCCTTGAGTGGGTACCGGGTGGAGTCCCGGGAAGGAAAGACGGCAGGCGTGATGCTGAAAACATCATCCATCTCAGCTGATTGGTTTAAAAAAAATATAGTGCTAGCCGTATGTGCCCAATACGCCAAAAGGGACCTTTACTTTTTTACTTTTGCTTACTTCCTTTTTATGGATAACGATATTGATGACCGTAAGTAACTGAGATTAGTTCAAGAGAGTCCAAGATGAAATCAAAAGGAAGTAGTGGAGCCGATATCGTGTAGCTGTGAGAATCTCGCCTTTAGATCCGAAGATCGTAAATTTAAACCCAAATGGGGCTAGAATTTGTTCACAATTGACCTTGGTTCCCAGGTCAACCAGGCATTAAATGGCTAACAGGTAAAGTCCTGAGAGGTAAAAATTACCTTCGTGATGCTGACCACAGTGCCTACCGAGTGCCACTTGGTCTATCAAATGTATTTCTAGCTTTGGACGCCCAATATGAGTGAAGGCGGGAAGAAGGGCTCTTTATATTGCACAGCTATTTAATTGTTTCTTGAGTCTTAAAAAAAAAAAAAAACCCGCTGTTTGCGTAGTTTCTTAATGATTCTATAGATCACGCTCAGTTTGTGCCCTAGAATTAATTATAATACAGCAGTCCTAAAGAAAGAGAATAGGGGCTTTTGAGCTGAAATGCTATAGAAGGATTCTCAGAATATCTTGATCAAAGAAGAGGATAAATAGTGACATCTTGAAAGATCTGAACATCAAGGAAGATTGGCTAATAAACAGCATCTTGCCTCGAAAGCTGAAATATTTTGGTCATTTCAAGCGCCACGACAGATTGGACCAAAAAAAAAAAAAAAAGCAGAAGACATGGTACCAGGAAGGAGGGGCAGGGGCCGACCAACACGAAGATGGGCACAGGATATAAGTGACTCCTTGAGTATGAAAGTACATGAGGCAGGAAAGCTGGCGAGAGACCGAGTTTCTTTCAAGCAGACTGTGATGAGAGCGACGTTTTGCAAAGGATCTGCTACATGAATATGACGGCACTTTTAATTCACCCTTTAGGGCGTTCCCCTACTATAAAAGGAGCTTGAGTACAATATAAAGTAAAAGTGAAGGACTTTATCCACGCCTACATGCGTGCTGGGCATACAGAGATAGACCTATATTTTATAGACCAATCGGCACTTGGTGGGTGATGTGGTCAACATCGCACTGGCCGCCCTTACTTCCCAGGACAACACCTGAAACCTACTCAACGCTGGGTCGACTTGGCAGTCAAGTCAATTTTGAAAAATGAAGTCCGGCTCCGTCAGGACCTGAACCACGACCTTCCAATCCACAGGCCAGCGTCTAGCCGCTACACCACGGCGGCTGCAGGGATACACCATGGCTGTCAGTTATTGTACAGTGTAGTGGGATTTATCTGATGTAGAATGTGTTATAATATAGCACGGTTGTAAACAAATGAGCGTTTTTCTGCTGCTATAGATATGTGTGTGTCAAGTCGGTTGAAAGACTACAGCACAGTGGGATTCACAGTCTATACCAGTGTTTCCCAAATTTTTCTTATTCGTGGCGCCTTTTTTCTATTACAATTTTTCCACAGTGACCTAATCTAAGTAAAAGTATGTAAGAGATTAAACAAAATTGTGTATTTTCGAATATTTCGCGGCGCCCCTGTGAGGAGGTCGCGGCTTCTCGGTGCACATTTTTGGAATCACTGGTCTATAGAATAAAACTTTAGCTCAGCCAGTGTACAGAACAATGTCAATAACTGACTATTAATTGAATTTGAAAATAGCTCAATCCTTCAATGTACAGAACAATAAGTGGATGTGAGAGTCACCTGTGTGTGAGTCACCTTCAGTTGGTCGTGCGTCTTAGTACACATGTTGTCCATCAAGTCGGTGTCTTCATTTGGATGTGACAGGTTCAAATCCCGGCATGGTAACTATTGCTTCTGATTTATATGTTGTTTGGTGTGTACTTCTATCTTTCTACTTCTTTTTGTGAGGACCAGTCAATACATCTCTCTTTGTCACTAGTATATATGGTCTATTCGACTTCAGTGGTTCCCCATCTATTAAATTTAGTTCATTACAGAACATTATAATTAACTTGCTATGTAATATTAAGAATATAGCTGCGTCATTTCATTACAGAAGAATAAGTTAGATGATTGCATGAGAATGCTTAAGAAGACAGAGACAGGATGGATTCGAAGAAAATGGTTGGTTTCGCTGGGAAAATCTTGGATGTAATACCTTTTTTTTTGGTGCCAGGACACTCTGATGTAAGAGGGAATGAACGAGCGGATTGGCTTGCTGGCAGGGCCACGGTAGGTACAGGAAAAGCAATACACCCGGCCAACAGTCAGGCGACGATGTTGAATCGACAACACTCAAAAGACAACAAGAAATTCTGGTTAAAAAAAAGCTGTCGCCAAACATAAACAGGCAGCCAAAAAAGATTAGTAACCCAGCGCAGAACTAGTGTTGTCAGTCTCCACACGTTGAGGGACATACTGAAGATGGGATCCACGCGCTTATGGACTGGTCTGATGTGTAAAGAGGATAATATGTCGAATAATTAACTAATTTAGATCATCACATGTATTGTACAATAGAGAGCGACTCGCTTGCGATCCAATGCGCTAGAATGTAAGAGGGTTAGAAAACATTACACGGTGACCCACTAGTATATTCTCTGGTTTCAGATCCCGGTGCACAATTGATTTGCTGTGCAAGTAGGTGAGACCATTGCAGATCTGTTTGACATATCTAGTCATGGTCGCCACTGCTTCTTTGTGTTCCCTTTGGAGCAGAGGATTTCTTCCAAGGCTGCTGGGTGAGTGTTCTACATCGATGCATTTCTCCTGAAAAGTTATTGAAAAACTGAGTAAATACATCATTTTAAAAGGACCATTTTATTTTTATGGGAGGTCATTCGAAAACGGACTTGTGCAGAGTGAATTATGTATTGTTACATAGTGGACATGAATATTTTAGAAAGGCTTATGCAGGACATGACACATACAAGGTTGGGAAACACTGCATTAGTATAGCGTCTAACGAGGCTAACATATTCCAGTATGCGACAAACGTTATAGTTTTTAGGTCAGTTCCTCTTGATACTGAGATAATTAATGTCTGTATTTTTCCTTCTCTTGATTTATGAAACTGAAAGTTTATTTGTGCTCAGAAGCACCGTTATCATAGTACTACCATCACACATTTCACTGTGTGAACTACTTCTCGTCCTTTTTAGGATGCAATTTTTCGTTATTTGAAGCCCTACTCTGGCTTTTGCCAGGGACCGCAATATAGCCTGGCCATAAATATGGCTTAAAGGCTAAACGTGGTTTCTGGGACTCTCCACGGTGATCCTCACCCACATTGTGGCACATAGTATCATCGGGTGTTTATCGCTTGTGTGATGTCCTGGTGGGGTAGAAAGTCAGTCAGTCCCATTAGTCGTCCCCTTGCAGGATGCATTTTTGTTTTCTATTTTTTGAAGCCCCACCCTGGCTTCTGCCGGCGGCCCTGAATATAGCCGTCCCATAAAAATGGCCTAGGCTATAGTTATGGCATAACTGCTGAAGGGGTTTCTGTGACCTATCCATGGGTGATCCTCATCCCAATAGTGGCACTTGGTGTCACCAGATGTTTATCGCTTGTGGGATGTCCTGTTGGGGATACAACTACTTACCTACCTACCTACAGAACACATTACAACGGCAATACAGTTCGTTGCTATTTTTACATTTCTGTATATCTCAGTAACTGTCTCAGTGCATCGTATATGAATTAAGAGGACGGTGCTGCCATATGTGGCCGAACTGATTCAGCGGACAATGAGAAGAGAGTCAGGACGGCACCCAACAGCGAAATGTAGGTGTAACTGTAAACTGGCCGCATTAAAACCAATCATCATGTGGCTCTGCGTTGAAAATTGAGCATTAGTGACATTGTCTGGAGCGCAGCAATGCACATCCATTAAGCGTAAGTAAAGGTCCCTTTTCCACGCCTTTATGCCTAAAGGGCACATAGGGCTAGACCTATGCTTTTAAAGACTAATCGGCCCGGCTCTCTAGCGTAGTTGGCTAAACCGGATTGCGCGCTGATCGGGTGACGAACTCCTTGTGGTCCGGGTTTACTCCCGGGGGTAGGCAGAAAAGCCACACTTCTCCCAGATTTACAGTATTTACAATGATATCAAGGCCGATAGGTTGCGATATCCATAATACCGAGCCTAAGGGTTAACAACTTATGGCTTCTGGATACTAAAACAATCAAACAAAGACTAATCGGCACAAGATGGGTGACGTGGTCAGCATCACGCCGGCCACCTATACCTCCCGGGACGGCACCCGGTACCCACTCAAGGCTGGGTCAACCTGGGAGTCAAGGTCATTTGTCAAAAAAGTATGTCTCTGCCAGGAAGCGAAGCCACGACCTTCCTATCCGCACGCCGGCGTCTAGCTGCCACGCCACGGTGACTCACATCTATTTAGCGTGCATTTCTCATACTCGGTCCGTCCGTTTTTTAAAAGGGAAAAAAATCGCTAATGTATCCTCTTTAGGCGATGATTGTGAAAATGTTATTTGCACCATATAAAATAGCTTAGCATTGATCGCTAACCAAGTATCCCTGATAAGTACTCTTGCAGTGTTAATGCAATCAAATACTGTTCTAACCAAGTATCACTGATAAGTACTCTTGCAGTGTTAATGCAATCAAATACTGTTCTAACCAAGTATCCTTGATAAGTACTCTTGCAGTGTTAATACGATCAAATACTGTTCTAACCAAGTATCACTGATAAGTACTCTTGCAGTGTTAATGCGATCAAATACTGTTCTAACCAAGTATCCCTGATAAGTACTCTTGCAGTGTTAATGCGATCAAATACTGTTCTAACCAAGTATCCCTGATAAGTACTCTTGCAGTGTTAATGCGATCAAATACTGTTCTAACCAAGTATCCCTGATAAGTACTCTTGCAGTGTTAATGCGATCAAATACTGTTGTAACCAAGTATCCCTGATAAGTACTCTTGCAGTGTTAATGCGATCAAATACTGTTCTAACCAAGTATCCCTGATAAGTACACTTGCAGTGTTAATTCGATCAAATACTGTTCTAACCAAGTATCCCTGATAAGTACTCTTGCAGTGTTAATGCGATCAAATACTGTTCTAACCAAGTATCCCTGATAAGTACTCTTGCAGTGTTAATGCGATCAAATACTGTTCTAACCAAGTATCCCTGATAAGTACTCTTGCAGTGTTAATGCGATCAAATACTGTTCTAACCGAGGCCAGTGGAAGACTCAGTCGCTAGTGATAAACGTTCTGACAGAGTCCATGTCGTATGGCATTGGTAGTTATGTCTATCTAAAATCTTCTGTCTCGTGTACTTTCAATCATTTCTGACACAGATGATCGTCCATGCCATGATGTCAAACGCGTCCGGCATCTGTTCTCTCAGTCTCCTTCTGCCTCTCCTCCCCTCAAACTTTCCTACCGCCACAATGTACTAAGGTTTTCTCCTTCTCATCACATGACCAAAGAATGTAGATTGTCTCTTTCTGATGTGGGCAATCAGTTCACGTCAGAAATAGACAGTGATGATCGTACTCATGTAGGTAGGTAGATGTACCCCATTAGGACATCACACAAATGATAAACACCCGATGACACAAAGTGCCATCACGCGGATGCGGATCACCCGTGGAGAAGTTCCAAAAACCCCTTTCAGCCGTTAGGTCATATATATGCCTAGGAAATATCTATGCCCCGGCTATATTCAGGGTCCCCGGTGGAAGCCGGGGGGAGGGGGTGGGGGTGGGGGCTTGAAATACAAAAAACTTTTTATATCATACTCAGTTGTAATTACTTTTATTCATACCTTCAAAGTAAAGGGACAGTACTCCATGACAAAGATCAATCTCAGATCGTCATCTGCGCCTTGTTTAGTCAAGCCAAAGTATCGGATGATGTTCCTGTGTTTCAGGTCGCTACGGAAATAAAATTAATATATAAATGTTTTGTTTTTTAAATGATGAATATTACGTTACAGAACCTACACTGTACCAAACGCTATAAAATTTATTTACATTCACTAATGTTTATTCAATATGGTTAGGTCGCGCGTCGCATAATAACTAGCTGGTACTCCACCAAAAGTGTCGCAAAATAGCTGCCAGTCTACCGCAAGCATTATAACAATCTCCGTAGCTTTGACAACGACCTAATGGATATTTAAAACACAGGCTTTTGCGAAAGGAACAAATGAGTCTGAAATCACGCCCACAGCATGCAGAGCCGGAAACAAATAATTTAACCACTTCGGAACAGAGACGTTTTTTTTTTAACCTAACGATATCCCTCGTTTGTAAATAGTGTATCTAAGTCATTTTATTTGTGCACGTGTGTATACTGATAAAGGATTTCTGTCAGTCACGTTAATACGGTCACTCATAACTACGATCCTGTTAGGCTGACACGTTTCGAATAATCTCATTAACAGCACTTCACAACAAATGGAACTGTTCAGTTTTATCTCTTCTTCAAATGTTCATCATATACTAGGCACAGCTTTACAGTGTGGGGTGTCTGTGTGTTTATTATTCGACGCATGCTTGGTTAGTTAAAAGTCAGCAATATGGATGCCTTTTTCAATGGCTGGATGCGAATTCTTGACAGTTTTCCAGTCGCTGGTTTTGGGGTATGGGAATCCTCGGTGGTGTAGCGACTTGATGCTCACCTGCGGATCCGACGGTCGTGGTTTTTAAAAAAAAATGGCGTTTGCTTTCAGGTCGACTCAGCCTTCACTGTGTACCTAGTAAAATCGTGAGAAGTAAAGGCTGCTGGGGTGATGCATTGGCTGTGAAAGCACACGGGACAGGATAAATAGCTAGTGAAAAGGAGGTATTTAGGCGTACCGTGAAGAGAGCGACGTTCTGTAAATGACATGCTAATTGATGATGATGATACATTTTGAAGTTTCCTGAGATTAGTTGGGTAATTCAAAACAGTAAGGGCCTCGTGACTTTATATAGCTCAGGGTTTCATAAGGTCTAAATCCAGACCTTGACAACAGTTTCTCAGCACTGTTTCAAAATTGTCTATCACAAGTTTTGGAATAACGGATCAACATCGTGGCACACAGGTAGTAATCCATAAGTTTTCTGTTCTTCTTCTAACTCAAGTCTGAGTCTGGAGAAGCTCAGCACAGTGCACAGCCTCTGTAGCACCTGCAAGGATTGTGAAATACTTTGGGTAGATTTTGAACTCAAAATTTTGCCCGAGCGGCGCCGTTAGGCTACTTTTTTAATTTCCAACTGCTAATGGACTTTTTACGTGCGCAAAAATGCACACAGGCATCCGATCTCACTACCCAGAGACAAGAGGAAATTACTAGAAGTCCAAGTCCACGTGAAAGATCCCAGCCCTTACCGGGGATTGAATTCGGAACCTCTAGCACTCAAGGCCAAGAGCACTCAAGGCCAAGCAGGCTCCCACTTGTCTATCACAGACAGTAGTTAGCTAAAAACAGTTTCTCTTATTTATCTGTTCTTTTATCAGTCCGCTGTCTAACCCTAACCTAGTAGTTTTTTTCTTTAACCGTTGCCGCCTAAACAGCATGATGTGCACACGGGAAAGCAGTGCACTGGTCCTGCCTGCACAACCACACAGAGGGATCAAAATATCAATTAGCTGTACAAAAGGCTTACAAATACATTTGTACCTCCAACAAAATCAGTGTTGTGACGGAAGACGTTTATCGGAACAATTTGTTCAAGTGCTTTGTCAATATGGCATTAGAATTGCGCTTGAAAGAAAACAGCGTTCGGCTTCTGAACAAACAAACACCGCAAACGTACATTAAAGCCTTGAATGGGTACAAGGTGCAGTCCTGGGAAGTAAAGGCGGCCTGTGTGATGCTGACTACATCACTCACCAAGTGGCGATTGGTTTATAAAAATATAGGTCTAGCCCTATTTTTGCAATACGCCTCAAGGCGTGATAAGGGGTCCTTTACTTTACAAATTCATTAGGATAGCCCTGAATATTTGATTTTAATTTTTTTTTTCAACTAGGCATTTAATTTTGTAAAGCAACAGTTATGTGGTACAAAAATTGTTAAAGCGCCTAAAAATGCCAAAAAATGAGATTTTCCAAAGGCCTGCGCCTGTCTGGTTTGGTCAAAAGATTTCATTTTCCAAAAATTGTAAAATTTTGTTTCAGACTATCATTTCACACCTTTGTAGGTAATCTAAATGAGTAGTTAGATATTTTTAGAGCAAAATGGTGGCCCAAAAAAAAAAAAAAAAAAAAGTAAGAAAAGGAAAAACAGATGTCAATGTGCAATGTTCCTAACAACTTTCTGGTGTACTAACACTAAACATTGAGTCGCAAACAATTATTTTACACATGCATAGTCAAATTAGATGCAGAATATGTAATTTTAATGTCTAATTTTTTCCTTTGTGGGTTCCGGGCCCTATTACAGGGAAAACAAGAATAGACTCAATGTCTACTCAAAAAGCATGTCGTAAGAGCCGACTATTTAGGAGCTACCTTCGAAGTCGAAATGCATTTGCCTGATATACAAGGAATCAACATTCTGCATAAAATGAGTCAATTCTGTAAAACAGATGCACACGCAACACTCAGGTTCATGAACAGGAGTGCAGTCCAGAAAAGGACGAACAACCAAAACTTCTTGCCAGAGTTTACAGGTAGTAAAGGCGAAGAAGAAGAAGAATGTATAATTTGACATTGTTGAGCAAACTGAAGTTTATTGGGGGAGGGGTGAGGGTGGGGGAGGGGGAGCTGTGATAGCCTAGAAGTGTTCACAATTGAGTTTGTAGCCAAAAACTACATGTTTTGCGAGAACCAAGAAGCAACTGTTATTAGATCTGTCAGTGCAGGCAGTCTCAAACGTGTTAATATTTATTGTTCAGTATGAGTTGTCTGGAATCCGTTTATTAGTGCAGATTAAAATTAAAAAAGTTAGTTGCGTATCCTTTACAGGACGATGTAAAACCAAGCCCAGCATTTTTTGGCTGTTGTGGTTTTTTTTTTTAAGCAAATGTTACGTTCAGTAGTTTGTCATTGCTTTCAAATAAGAGTGCTGATACAACAAAGTAAAAAATTATATCTCCCCACACCCCCCCCCCCCCCCCCCCCCCACCCCCCCCCCCCAAAATAGGTTTGACATTATAACAAAAGATCCCTAGGATAGTTGCCGGACTCACCGTGTTCGTTCTGTGTGCGACGCTATAGACAGGCGGTAAACCGTTCTGTCAAGAGAGACCGAACCATATGCGATAAAACCCGTTGCAACTTTAATTTTAACTTTAAATGTCCGCTTTAGGCGGGAAAAAAGGGAAAAGTAAAAGGCGATGAATCATTTGGGTCTGGCTACCTGAGCTGTAAACCCACACATTTTCCGACACAAATGCCAGTGAACCTTGAGTTAGTCTAGAGGAGTTGGTATAAGTTTGAAGGAACCTATGCTTGACTAGAGAATACAGGACAGAAACAGAAAATGCAGTCTACCGAAGCATGAACTCTTCCAGAAGAACATCTGTGACTTCTTCGCGTGTCAGCCTCGTTTTAGGTACTTTCAAGGCAACTGGCTCTTCAACTTGTCCTTGCCGAAGAGTCCCTTTGTACACATTTGCAAAACAGCCAGATCCTATACATTCTTCATAACTGCAGGTTGGAGGAAATTAGGAAATAAGATCAATTATAACTTGTGTTACATGTCCACCTTTGGTACAATATGGGAATACAACCTTGCGACTGACCGAGTTTTAGGAGGAAATAGAAGAAAAGGAAGAAGAAGAAGAAGAAGAAGAAGAAGAAGAAGAAGAAGAAGAAGAAGAAGAAGAAGAAGAAGAAGAAGAAGAAGAAGAAGAAGAAGAAGAAGAAGAAGAAGAAGAAGAAGAAGAAGAAGAAGAAGAAGAAGAACAAGAAGAAGAAGACTAAGAAGACGACGAAGAAGAAGAAGAAAAGGAACAAAGAAGAAGTAGAAACAGACGATGATGATGATGATGATGATGATGATGATGATGATGATGATGATGATGATGACAATGACGAAGAATCATTTCTTCCTTTTTTTCTCTCTCTCTTATAAGTAGTTGTTTTGCAAAGCTCAGTGAAATACACATTGTTTGTTTACGTCAAGGCTTTTATCACGTTTGTTTTACTGTTTCTTTCTTACCTGTTTCTTTTTCGGTTTTCTTTTGTTCCCTTCCTTAATTCCAAGTGTTATGTTATTAAGATGTGCGTCGTTTTTTTTTTTTTTCAGGGCTATGCACATAAGATAGCTTTATGCGAGTTGCCTTATTTCTCGTTTTGTTTAGTATTGTTGATTTTCATTGTATGTGCATTGATAAAAATATAAATTGGAAACCCTCGCTTTTATACTCGTCTCCGTCAAACTACGTCGCTAAAGTTCTCGCTTTTTTCACATTTATTCCTATTTATATAAGTTGACAATGTTTTTCCAATTTTCGTTATAGCATAGCTTCGGACAATAAGAGTGTTTGCTATCCTTACTTATAAAATCAGGAAACTATGAATAGGTTATGAGTTTAAATTGTACACACACACACACACTCACACGTACACAATGACATAGCGAAGAACACAGTAGATACAACACACACTGAACATCCATTTATAGTAAGGATGATTGATCAACATACCATTCAAGCGACATTTGATTACACAACATGATGGGGATAAAGAAAGAAGTTTTAAATATCATGTTGGCAATTGTGTTAAAATATATAAGAAATTATACATACATGATTTGTTCTTGGACAAAGTCTGGAGCAATAAGTCGCTGAACATAGAACATATCCAACTCTGCTTGAATCAGACTGAACTTTCTTTCTTTCTCAGGTATCTGAAATAGTCGGATCTCTCCTCGTTGTAAATCCTCACTGAGTTTTACCAGTAAGTCTTTGTCATTCTTCACCATCTCAGGCAACATCGATCCAACGTGGTCTATTCCTTTGAGGTGCCTGGAAGCAGATAGATGAAATCGGTGACTACGTGGCAATGAGAAGTGTTATACATTAACATTATGTAAAAGGATTTAACTGTTAACTCGGCTGACGAGTAACAGTATGTCCTAACAAGCGATAACGTCTAGACTAAAGAGGTGTAAATGATGGACAGTCTGAAAATCACCGTTTACAAGGCACACAAAAGAGCACATTCTCGTTATTTATACATAGCTTGAAACTATAAGTAAATCCTGAGTGGTCTCGGTGCATGGCGTCCGTCTCGAGTGCTGGACGTGCCGAGTTCAGGCCCCGGTAAAGCGTTTTTTTTTTTTAGGTGGACCTCTAGTAATTTCTCATGGTCTCTAGGTAAAAGGATTGGACGCTCGTGTGTATTGTTGCGAACGTAAAAAATCCCTTGGCAGTGTGAAATCGAGAATAACATACTAGCGATGCTGTTCTAGCAAAATTTGGAGTTAACAATCTTACCAAGGCATTTTAGGATCCTCGCCGGTGTTACGGAGTTCATGCACTGCGTTGAGAATTTTCGGACTGAGATTTAAGTTAATAGGGGATAGGGCACTTATGAGTTACTACCCTTGTGCCATGATGTTGATCCGTTGTTTAAACCTAAAACTAAACATAGTCTAAGTCCACGTGAAAAGATCCCAGCCCTTACCGGGGATTGAATCCGGAACCTCTAGCACTCGAGGCGACACCCTGCTTCAAAACCACGCAACCTCTCACTTATCTATCAGAGATAGTAGTTTTCCTTATTTATCTGTCATTTTAGTGACTCTAAGTGTTTGTATGTGTGCACGCATATTATCTACCAACGATCTTTCTGTAGTCTGCCTAGAGGTCTACTGCCATTCAACTCTTGTTTGTACAGAGTTTGTGTCTGTTTCGGTCTCCATTCTCAAACTAGATGAGGTTTCTAATGCCATTAAAGTGGGTTACTAGAATTTTCGTAGTGCCAAGCAGAGTCAGAGAGCCTGTACTGGTTTGTCGAGAGACAAATGAGAACAACGAGCACTTTTGACAATGTTAAAATAGTGCTTGTAGTAGTTTATAATACTTAATTTTACTAGGGAATAGACTTGAAACATGAAATTAATCAAGAAGCCTGGTGTCCTATGACTATGTCTTCTGCATGAGAATATAACCGGGCTCCCAGACACACTCGCGCGCCGGCACTCCACACACACATGCACTCACATACACGCTCACATATACACATACACACACACACACACACACACACACACACATAAATTAACAAATCGTATTTTACAAAGCGCGTGTGAATGCATACATTTAACCTTGCTATTCTATTTATTGTTCCTGATTCTGATAGTAAATAGGAAACATTGCACTGTGAACATCACAACCACAACCACCACAACCACACTACCATAACCACTACCACTAACATCACCACAACAACCACAATTATCATCATTACTATTACTTATTATTTTGCAAGCACGGTCGATAACAACAGTAGGTCTAGCTGTCTGTTCATTTTATATAATGTAATACAAGGTTGACAATAGACTATCATTCTTCAGTATGGATATACTGTCAGTGACCTCACCTATCAAAATAGCTGCTCATTGCTCCAGCAATTGACTGTTCATGCATCAAGCTTAGGTACATGCTGGTTGCTTCCTTCATTGCCTCTGGTGGGTTGGCAGCATATTTGTATTTGAACAGCTCTTTGACTTTTGAGTGTTTAGAGTCAAGGTTGAAAGATGAAACAACGGCTGCACCAATGCTTTTGGGAAAGAGGAATGAAGTTATTAGTCAAGATATCAGTTTTCTACATGTAATACTCACAAAAAAAAGAGGAAGCATTTGACAGCCACACACACACACACACACAAAAAACTTTTATTCGTATTATTAATATTTTGTTGGTCTTTCTAACCCCTATTGGGCGTAGGCCCTCAACCAACTCAAACCAAGTCGTTCTGTCCTTCGAATCGAACGCAGCTCTCCCCACTACCCCACCATCTGTTTAACCTCACTTTCTAGCTCCCTTCTCCGTGTGTTTTTCAGTCCTTCTGTATTTATATCCCTGTCGGTTCCAGTGCAAAGACATTCTAGTTATATAGTTCTAACTGGGAGCTTCCTTCGAAGTCGGAGTGCATCTGTCAGAGATGCAAGGAACCAGCAGTCTGCATACAAATGAGTCAGATCTGCAAAACAGATGCACACGCAACACTCAAGTTCTGGAACAGGACTGTAGTCCAGAAGTGGATAAACAACCAGAACTTTCCGCAAGAGTTTACAGCTGGTGAACGCGAAGAAAAAGAAAATATTGTTCTCATGTTTTCTTCGCGTGTGTCCTATCTAACGCCAGAGTCTTTTCTTCACCTCTCGGTCCATTGGAATTTGTTTTGTTCTCTCCCAAAGCTCTCCATTATTGATTCTATCATACCATTTAATTCCCTCTATTCTGCGCAGGCCATAGTTAATGAATGTTTGTATTTTTTTTGTAATTGCTTTAGTTTTAATTTCTTTCGGCCTGCACAAATTCCCTAGTGCTATGAAAGCTCCTCTCGCCTTTTGTAATCGTATTTTAATATCTCTATCAATTGCCCCCTTTGTTTCTACAGTACTGCCCAAATAGGTGTATAACTCCAATATTAATACAGTTAGATGAAAATCTGTCATTCTTCTATAATGTATAAACATTCTGTATCTTTTGGGGAGATCCCTGTGTGGGTTCAGGGGCTCCACTGCGGGGGAACACAAGAATATACCCACTGCCCCCCCCCCCCCTAAAAAAAAAAAACATGTAGTAGCGGCAGTCGATTTCGAAGTCGGAGTGTATCTGCCGAGCAGCACGAAACAACCAGCTGCACACAAATAAGCCAGTAAAACGGATGTACACGCAAAACTCAGGTCCTGGTACAAGGTCAAAATTCGAAATGAACGAACAAACAGAACTTACCGCTAGAGCTTACAGCCCGTGAAGAAAGAAGGAGAAGAAGATAACTATTAGAAACTCTGACCAGCAAGTCAAATAAGGTATGCATAATAATTTGGTCTGGCTCTGTCCAAGGCCCCAAACCTACAGAAGTAGTTGCGAATAGCAAATGTTTCCACAATGATCGCATGGATAATCTAAGACCTCCACTGTGAGATGTACAAAATACAGAGAGACACAGCGATACGTGTGTTCAGTTCAAACTATTTGTTTGCTGTTCTTCATTCGTTATGTGTCTATGTGCATTCTAAAATAACGCACCCGACGAGATACAGTGAAATACGCCAGGCAGTAAACTGTTTAATCTATTGTTTCAGTCTCAGCTCATGCATAACCATCGAATAGTATTTACCCCCATTCTATCCCACCATTGGCTGCTGCTGCTCCAATGGGTGGTGATCTAAGTTATGATGAAGCGGAAGAGGTTAAGGCTCTCTGGGATCAAGCAGATAGTGTAATAGAACAGACCAACGATCCATACATTGATAGACTAATTCAGCAAGGGGTGAGCAGGAGGTTTGAAAAACATAAGCAGATTGCAGCAGGTACATAACGACTACTAAAGAGGAAGACTGAGCACTGTGGGAATGCCAAGACTGCCGGGACGTTAGTTCTCAATTTATTCAATCATTGAATCTTCCAGCATGTGTTAGTTTAACTAATAAATGCATGGGTCATAATGGGTGAAAGTATTAATGATACTGTGAGAGAGAAGGAGTTAAAGTAACAAGTGGAGTAGGATGGCTTAATGTAACAACTAGCAAGTCCTACCCACGGAATAAAAGGTTAACAGAGCCATAGCAGACAGTGAACAATAGGCGTCCTTGTATTTTATGCAGACAGCAGTGATACAGCTTTCTTTGGTCATTGGTAAACTACGTTGTTAATATTGTATTCATTGGTGAATAAAATGTAAGTCTAGCCCTGTGTGCCCAATAGGCCCAAAGGCGTCGAAACGGGTCCTTTACTTTATTTTATTACCACTGAAATTTCAGTCCGTCGTTAGCATGAATGTTTTTAAGATGAATTCAACGCGAGGTTATAATCTCTTTTTATAAGACATTACTACTGGAGAGCAATATAATCATTTCGACGATTCAATGCAAGTTATAAGAATGAGAAATTATGATACTTCTTAAATTTTATGCTAAGACGTTGAAATGTGGCGATAAAAAGAACAAAAAAGATGAGAAGAAAAGAAGAGACAGAGAAAATAAAAGGAAAAGTATTCAGAAAAGCAAGAAGAAGGCGAATGAAGGGCCACTGATGAGACATGGTGCTATTGGAAGAGAGTAGTGGAAAAAATAAGAAATCTCTACAGCGACAGTTCGGAAGAATGGGGAGAACAACCAAAGAGACAATTTTTCTTTTAAACACAAAATCGATTTGAAGAAATCGAATCATACAGATAACAATAATGAACAAACCTAAGGAAGCTATCTTCTGCAAATTTATTCAACTTCTGCTTCTTTAATCGTCTCTTCTGGGCGTCGTTTCCACTTGCCATCATCACAAACTTCTTTATTTCATGTCCATTGAATAAAGCACCTAGCAAGCAGAATTTAATTATTATCATCTCCAGCCAGCATTATCAGTATCATCAAAATCATCACTATCATCAACATCAGTATCATCAATTGCTTTGCGATTTGCAACCGAATATATCAGTTCCTATTCTGAAACTCCTCCATGTCATGACCAAAGTTGTTAAAAAATCTTGCACAAATAGATCATTACGGTCTGAGGATAATGGCGCAGTGTGGCGTTACCAGCGGATCTGGCAGACGCTCAACATTTAAGCGAAGGGCGAGACAGTTATACAATCAGACAGTTACTGTGTATCATCTGAATAGGAACTCTTCGCTTGCAGTTAAAAATAAGGACAGAGCGTTTATGGGAGTGTCCCGTGTTCTGTGATGTCGATTGTAATTCAACATTCACCATTCAAGAAACTTCACTGGCTGACTCTTCATCCTCCTGTAGCAGGTCTTATGCAAAACGTCGCTCTCATCACAAAGGGTCTCCGTATCGAGGTGGTCAAGCGCTCTATAGATCCTTTGTTCGTTTGACGGCGGCGCATTTCAGTTCACCAGTGCATTTTTACCGATTCGCCACTGGATCGTTGCTGGAGCTAAAGAGGTCGTGCTCTGTGCCAGCAGGTAGCTGGCTGTTCTGTGGAGAGAGACAGAGCCAAATGGGATAGAATCATGTGCAATGAAGTGGATCCTCTCGTCACAAACGGTCCGAATGAAAGAAATACGGTTTCTCGGTTACTCTCCCGCCTCGTGCACTTTGCTACCCAAAGTGTGAGTAACACCCTGTGTGCCTATCTTTGTGTTGTCAACCCAAGTTCTCATTCTTGGAACCATGCCATCCATTTTTATTCTTTCTAATCCGCCGTGGTGATTGATATGAAGAAATATTTCAGTTTTCGGGACAAGATGCTGGTTCGCTGTCTACCTCTATACATAAATATCTATAGGTCTAGCTCTATATACTTAATACGCCCAAAGACCTAGAATAAATGAAGTTTACTTCACTAATGAGACTAAAATCGTGACAACTTAATAATGTAAATGATTTGCAAAGCAGCTTGTGAGTCGCCAGATCATCTTCACAGCATTTACTACTAGTGTATCATAAGTATAGAAACCAGATGTCAGAAAGCAAGTGCACTTATATACCAATTGTCACCATTATTGAGACATCCAAGCATAACTATGAGTGCAAAGAGACAGATTATTAATAGCATATTTATTCCAACATTAAGCTACCAGTGCCAAACATGGACACTGTCTAAAGCCCATATACAGCCAACCTAACCATACGAGATCGAGTAAATAATGAAACTATCCGACAAATTGTGGGAACGACACCTTGTACTAGATACATCGAAAAACAGCAGATCAAGTGGTTTGGCCATCTCGTTAGAATGCAGCAAGATCAAATACCATCACAAGCACTACATCTCAGAAGACCAACTACAAGAGCAAGAGGACGGCCGTGGAAAACATAGATCGACAACATTAAAGACACTCTACGCCTTCACGGCATGACAATACCCAGTGGCAGCCAACGTGCACCGGAACGCAAATTATTCCTCCCCACTGCGCTTAACGGCAGAAGTGGTTTATGATGATGATGATGAAATATCATAAGCGTTTGGAACCCCGCCTGACTCCGTCTCCATATCTGGGGTTGATGACCAGCTCAGTGTTGGTTTATTGTTCTTTGTTGGCCTCCTGTATTGTGACCTTCTCTGGGCTCACCCCTTTTGACTTTCTGTTTTTGCAGTCTGGTCATGGTTGCAGTTTTAAAATTATTTGTTTGACTTACATGCAAAACAATTATAATGTAGTAAATAAATAGACCACACACTGACCTTGAATTTCTTCAAGCTGTTCATCAAATAATTGAAACTGATCTTTGAAGAGCTTGATGAGGTCAACGTCTACTGTTTTCACAAAATCATGCTGTTTTTCCCATGTGTTTATCGCCACAGCCACCCGTTCTGCGATTGCGGCATTTGCATTCCTCGCTATATTTGACCAAGATCTTTCTCTTTGTGGGCATTCCAAGAGATTCCATTGTGACAGTCTTGTACTAGAGAAAAAAAAAATTAGAATATGTAAATTGTGGGGAAATAATAAACAGCATAATTCAATTAAAAAAGGAAATTCAAAATTATAAAATTATTTATCCATATAGTCACGTTCGCCTACGGATCCGAAGGTTGTGCATGTACGACCTGAGGAAGCCATACTTTTTTTTTTCTCTCTCCAAAAGTGACCTTGGCTCCCACGTCGACGCAGTCTAAAAGGGATACCAGATAAAGTCCTGGGAAGTAAAGGGTGTCGGCGATGGACCACATCACCCATCAAGTGCTGATTTGTCTATTAAATATAGGTCTAGACCTATAAAACCACCTGCAGGGACCTTTGCTTTACTTACCCCTTTCGTCAAAACAGAGGTGCCTGCTGTTATTTTGAAGATCATGAGTTAGAACCAGTCCTATCACGGATTTGGAGTTTGAGCTTTGAGGTTTTGAACAACGGATCCACATCATGGCACACATGTAATAACCCATAAGTGCTCCGTTCTTCTTCTAACTCATGTCTGAGTCCGAAGAAGCTCAGCACAGTGCACAGACTTTGAAGCACCGGCGACGATCCTGAAATAACTTTGGTAGATTTTTCACTGCAAATTTTGCTCAGGCAGCGCCGTTAGGCTACTCTTTTTGATTTCCAACTGCCAAGGGATTTTTTATGTGTGCGACAATGCACATGGGCTTCCGATCTCACTACCCAGAGACCAGGGAGAATTACTAGAAGTCAAAGTCCACGTGAAAAAAAAAAAAAAAAAGTCCCAGCCTTTAGCGGGAGTTGGACTAGGAATCTCTAGCATTTGAGGCGAACGCCAGGCCTCGAGACCACGAGCTGCACATGTCACGGATTTTGAAAAACGGGACTTCCTGATAAAGTCATCCATAAGGTATATATATATATATATTATATCATATGAAATATACATAGTTCTTGTTAGCTAATCATACATGAAAAGAGAGACAGTGGAGAACATCGTGACAACGGGAAAGATCAGTGGAAAAAAGGTGTAAAGGCAGACCAAGAGAGAGTATACTGGATGGGCTAAAACGATGGCATGGAGGAATACCATCAAGAGAGCTGTTCCAGTCAACTAGGGATCGTGATCTGTGGAGACGCATGAGCACCTACGCAAGTTGGCAGGGCACATGATGACGATGATATATATATATATATATATATATATATATATATATATATATATATATATATATATATATATATATATATATATATATAAATATTAATTTCGTTTCACTGATCCGCCGTTCAGTTCACGAGTGCAGTTTTTAACTTAGATTCATGAGCATCATCATCGGAGCTATGGAGGCTGTGCTTTGTGCGAGGCTTTCGGCACGCAGCTAGCTTTTCTGCAAAGAGAGGCTGGGCGATATGGGATAAAACCTGGTGTAGTGAAGTCGATCCTCTCACCCTTACCTTCAATGAAATAGGAAGTGATTGCAGAAAGGACGAGAGCTGTGCGTCTGACAAGCAACACACTTAATATATCTGATTTCAAAAACGATCCTGAAATCCCATGCTGTAACAGTAGAATGATAGGAATATGTGAGAGACTTTTCTTAACGCGGGCGGGTCTTGGCAGTCACACACGCCATCGCCATGGTCTCTGGAGTTCCATGCTTTATCATAGCCTAATTGTTAAAACACTTTCGCCTGTAAAGATGGATGATTGATAGCAAAGAGAAAGAACATGTGTGTTACTAACGAAGAGCGTACAAAACAAGTAATAGGTTTAAGATTTCACAAGTCTGTACTTGAACTCAATTAAAGAACGTCAGAGCTTTTAGGGAAACTTCTTCTTCTTTTTTGCGTTCATCGGCTGTGAAAGTTCTGGTTGTTCGTCCACCTCTGGACGTTAGTCTTGTTCCAGAACCTGAGTTTTGCGTTTAGCATCAGTTTTACAATTCTGCCTTATCTGTAAGCAGATTGTTGGTTTTTTGCCTCTTAGGCAGATGCCCTCCAGCTTCAAAGGAAACTCGCAATTAGTAAACTCTGACGACCTGCTTTTTGGGGAGGTAGTAGGTCTATATGCGGCGTCCGTGGCTAAGGCGATGCGAGTCTGACTCGTAATCCAACGTACCGCGATCGAAACCTGCGTGGGCTGCGTGGATTTTTATCGTGGTATGGGACGTCGCAGGTCGACCCAGCCTCAAATGGGTACCAGGATGGGCTGTCCTGGGAAAGTAAAGACGGCCGGTGTAATGCTGACCACATTACCCACCGAGTGTCGATTGGTGTGTAAAATATGGGTGCTCTTCCCAAATGCCTGATGCGCCTAAAGGCGTGTAAAGAGATCTTTACTTTTTACTTTACTTAGTAGGTCTATTTTCTTGTTTTTCCACAATGGGGTCCTGGACCAACATGGGGATAAAGGAAAGCGAAATATGTTCCTGTTACCTGATGAACATCGAACCCAGATATGCCAAAATCTCCTTGCTGGCAGAAACACTTGATGTTTGCACTCTGTGTTTTATCCTGTCTAATTGCTGTTTTGGACTCTTTTGTAGAATTTTCAGTCGTTTTTCCACTTCGATGTACTGCTTGCGTATTTTCTCTACTGCTTCTCTCCTGATGTCGTGTGTTATTCGAAGAGATAGTATTACCTTTTTTAGCAAACTAGATAGATATCTGTTAATGAAATACAAGAAAAAGGAATTAAACACTGAGCTAATAATGACTTGAGTTAAATATAATTAATGGATAATAGGGGAAAACGACATAAAATGATAATTTAATAAACAATAATATTCTTTTAGAGATAATATGATACCATTATAACACCAGATATTTTGCGCATTCACAAGTTAATGAATGTTAGTAGCAGAAATACTGTTTTAGTTGTTCTTTATGTTTCCGCTTTATACAGCAGTGCTGAACTGACATTATGGAGTAGAGCGTTTTAATTTCAGTTTTAATTTCCATTGTCTCCACGCATTTCACTTTGTGTATTGTTATTTTAACATCTCTGACACGTCGAACATTGCTATCTACATTACTGCCTAAATAGCTGTGTGCTTCAAATCTTGGGATATCAGAAAGTGAAAGTGGAATATAACTTTTGTTTGAAGTTGACATTCAAAGTTCAGCTTTTTTTTTCACTTTTCCAGCTCGGAATGAAATATGCAACACACATACATATACACACACACATGCACAGAAACACAAACACACACACACACACACACACACACACACACACACTCACTCACTCACTGTAAGAAGTGCATATGTGCTTTCCCATCTCGTTAAAATGCAACGAGATCAAATACCATCACAAGCACTACATCTCAGAAGATCAGCTACAAGAGCAAGAGGACGGCGCCAGAAATAATGGATCGACAAAATTAAAGGCCTTGTACGCCTTCATGGCATGACAACAGTCAGTGTCAGCCAGCGTGCACTGAATCGCCAATGATTCCTCCCCACGCAGCTTAACAGCAGAAGTGATTTATGATGATGATGATGATAAACATAATCCTTATGCACTTTCCTATCCACGTGTCTTGTGGCCATCTCCGTGCTGCTCGGTCCCTGTCGCTCCTCTTACCTGGTACCATGCGCCTCCGCCAGAGTTCTTCCCAGTCCCCGGTGAAGTGTCACATGGACAGGATATTTCAGTTTGCGAGACAATATGCTTTTATGGGCTAAATCTGATTGAATGTCAGTTCTTTTAGAATATCAGCTTTTTATTTCCATAATTTTTTTTGTAATTTTTTTTTTTTTTAACATTAGGAAAATATAAAGCGTCACAGAGGATTTGAAACAGTAATAACAAAAAGCATGGTACTAGGGAGGATAGGCAGGGGCCGACCTACACAAATATGAGCACACGATATAAGTGACTCCTTGAAAATGAAAGTACACGAGGCAGAAGTTTTGTCGACAGACAGCGTTTCTTACAGGCAGACCGTGATGAGAGCCACGTTCTGCAAAGACCTGCTCCACGATGATGATGATGATTCTAAGAATCTTTCTACAGTTTTTCATCTCAAAAGCCCTAATTTATTTCCTTAATGATTGTAAGACTGTCCACTACTTACACCTGAATGGTGCTAAACGAAAGATGCATGCTCTAAACATGTTAAGTTTGATTTGCTTACTGGTGCTTAGCCATAGACTCTTGATGTTGCTTAATCTTTGCATTGCTCGACTCGGGCAAATAACTCATCCAAAATCATCATAATCATCGTCAGGTGCCTTGCTGACTGGCAAGGGCGATCATGCCTCTCCACAATACGTAATCTCCTGCAGCATGTATCAGTTTGTGTGCTTACATAGCTCCATGCCATGAAACAAAACTGTCAAGAATCTTCTCTTGTTGTTTTCCCCTTTTCCTCCTTCCACAATTTTTTTCAGTTGTCACAACAAGCTCTTTTTTTCCCTCTTCTCATAACATGGTCGAAAAATTATGTCTGACATCCCAAGGTTACAGTAAAAACAGCCATGAAAGAAATTGTGCAATGTATGGTTTGTGATCTACTAGTATCGAAAACCGGAAACATTATTTTATATGAATGACAGACGTGATGCATAGTAACAGCCTCTGACCTGTAATATATCCTCAGCTTGCCTCTCATAGTCTGTGGCAAGAAATTTCTGATTCCCTCCACCAGGTCTTTATGCTCTTTGGAAATCAGTCCGTATTTAATATCCTTTGCAGACTGTGGGGTAAAAAAAGTAAATGAAAGCAGTTATGGATGTGGCAAACTATTTTCCATGTGTTTCATTGCTTTGCTCGAACAAAAAAAAAATGTCACACTCCACCAGCATCCCCTAAGGGGGAGCTTTAGGTTATAATTGTGACTAATTTATGTATGCCGTATAAAATGGCTTAGCATTCCACTGAAAGGGACTCCTGCGGTGTTAATGCAATAAATCTAAGGAGACAGACCCAAATACAGTAAGGACCAGCGACGAAGTCGTCTACGATAGCGCTAATGGGCGACCCGGTCGCCGATATATATTCCATCAAAACGGGGAGAATATATATATGTGTGTGTGTGTGTGTTTAAATATCCAGAAACCTTGCGTTGTTACCCCCTAGGCTCGGTATTATAGATATCGCAACCCTTCTGCCTTGATTCCATGATAGGTACCATAAATCTGGGAGAAATGTGGCTTTCCTGCCTACCTTCGGGCGTGAACCCGGACCATAAGGAGTTCAACACCCGGTCACCACGAAGTCCGGTTTAACCAACTGCGCTAGGGAGCCGGGCATATATGTGTGTGTGTGTGTGTGTGTGTGTGTGTGTGTGTGTGTGTGTGTGTGTGTGTATGTGTGTATATATATATATATATATATATATATATATATATATATATATATATATATATATATATATATATATATATATATATATATGCGTCATGTTTTGAGGGAGTATAGTTTGTGATTCTGTACCCACATGTGGAAAGACTAATTAATGCTTGGCGAATGATATAGACAATCTTAGGCAGACCATCTTGCTTCCATTTTTACTTCAGAGTTAGTCAACATTGGAGCTATCGATAAGTGTATAACATCCTCTCATTAACAGGGATTCACACACAAACACATGCTCCTCCTTACCCGCACAGGCCTGCTAATCACACCCGCATGGTGTAGTTGTTACAGGTGCCCTTATATTATATGTTCTTGCAGATTGAACAGGGTATCTAGGATAAGCCTTCTTGGTTTGCAGTCCAGATTTTGATTTTAAAACATTAGGATGATATTGTAAACATTAAAGAAAGAGTCTGGAAGAGACAAACTGATCTATTGATCGAACATTTGACAAGAGAACCGAAAGAGTCTCGCACTAATCCAGTGGCCTTATTTGGATGTTAGCAACTTCATCCTTTTACTTTCAACAAGGCAATGGATCCATTTTGATGCAGACAATTAAAATTCAATTGATGCTATTACATTTTTAATGTTTCTATTGTCTAATCGATCCTACAATCTTTGGCTTCTATTAGTACAGTTAAATGGTTGATAATGTATTTGTCACGCTATTTATAGTAGTATTAGTAGTGGAAATGTTTCGTTTCGCAGAATTGTTTGTATAGCATTTACTTTTCCTGTTCGCAACTACTCTCTGCATAGACATTTGTCACAAGGATTTTACTAAGATTTTTATTATTGGTATTTTTTGTTAGTAATTGTAATAGCTGGAACAATCGTGGTGTAGCGAATAGACGCTCGTCTATTTGCCCTAAGGTCGTGGGTTCAAATCCGCTTCAAGCATTTGCAGTATTGCAGATGTAACGAGGAGCGGCTGACCGAATATTTATTAAGAACGCTGCGCTCTTAAGAGGGAGACCCAGGTTTGAATCATCGGTAAAGTTGATCATTTGTTTCTGTCGGGGACAAAAATAAAATCCTTACCTGCACAGTCCCTGGCGACAGCACTAGCCATGTGGCCTAAATCCTCAGACGCAAAAAACCTCCTGACTGTTAAGCAAAATTGGTAAAATACAGACAGAAAAGACAAGGTTTTTAAAGGCACATCAAACACACACTACTGCACCTGCTTGACTGAGATTGGGTAGAGCTGTACTTTACTGTCTGGCGGTAGAAACATGTCCAGTTTAGTTCTTGTGGTTTTCATCACACGCTCAGCATCTTGTGGCTGGACCTGATCCCAGTGACTGCAGACAAACAGGGTGGTACTGTGATCGTAACCCTCGTTAGCTTCTATTACTTTCAAAAGCAGCTGCCCTAGCTGAAATTTAAAAGAAACAAAACAAATGGTAACACCATCATTGCTCAATAAATAGTATTATTTTCCTTAGTATTGTTAAAATCAAGCAGACCATTGTGGAATTTCACTTAGCAATATCAAAGTTTAGATCTATCAAAAAATGCAAACAGCGGGGTATGGAGAAGAACAAGCAACAAAGAAATTCATAATCTGTTAAAGTCACCACTCTCATAATATTCTCCTCATCCCCTTGTGGGATGCAATTTTTAGTTATTTTGAAAACCCACACTGGTTTTTTCCGGGAGTTATAAAAATAACCGGGCCTGAAATATGGCCTTACGGCTGAATGAGGTTTCCGGGTCCTCTCTCCTTAACTGCAAGGTGGCACTTTGTGTCATCGGGTGTTTATCGTTTGTTTGATATCCTGGTGGGGTACAACTTACTTACTAACTCACCACTGATTCCTGATATGGAGTCATACACAATATTGGACAAGAATGTAGATAAACATTTAGCAACTAATAGAAAGAAAAAAAAACTACAATACGAAAACGTAAGACTGTTTCACAGCCACTAGGTAGCTTATGCAAGGCAAAGAAGACTCAAACTAATACTAAATCAAACAATGACAAGGGGAGAAACTTAAGAAAATATTGATGTCTTCAGCCCTCTTACACATTTTCTTGAGGAGGGTTGGACTCGATGAGCCTAAGCCTTGCTTCAATAAATAATTATAACAATAACACATATAATATTAGCATACTTAATGACAAAAATAAAGGGGATGCTTTAAGTAAACACTTCAGAAAGGGAACTATTATAGGTGTGTATGTTGGGAAGGGAAAAGGGAGTTAGCTTATTCCCATTACAAACTCGAGGTGGTAGGCCGAGCTTTCGCCCTTTAAATTTTTTGCGCTATTGGAGTTGGGGGATAGGAGGGGGGGGGGGGATGTCCAATGTCCTTAGGCTCCCAGGCTCCAGACACCTGATAGTGAACTAGGGATGGACTAAACTTTACACCAATGTTCAGGTATAGGTAGTGATTGAACCGTCTAAAGTGGTCAACTAGAAAGTAAAGTACAGATCTATTTTTACACCTAAGGCGCTTAGAGCACCCATATTTTTACAGACCTATCGGCACTAGGTGGGTAATGTGGTCAGCATTACGCCAGTCGTCTTTACTTCCCAGGACAGCCATCCTGGTACCCAGTTTAGGCTGGGTCGACCAGCGACGCCCCATACCATGATAAAAGTACACGGAACCAGCAATGGGTTTCGATCGCGGTACGTTGGATTTGCGAGTCGGACCCGCAACTCCTAAGCCACAGACGCCGCAAAGTGGTCAACTATTGGACCAATAATGTTATTTCTTCCACGTTTCTTGACTTCTGTGCATGTATAGGTGTGTGTGTGCGTTTTAAAACTTTCTTTAAGTATTGTTTTCTAAGACGTTGTTTACAGGCTAGATGACGGAGCACTTATAGACTAGAGTGCTGTGTAGCCTCAATTGCCGCTCTCTTCATGCCACCAATGACATTTTACATCCCCAGAATGTGTTAGCTTTCACGACAGGATGCTGTTTATTAGCAAATTCTCCTCGATGCTCAGATTGTGTAGGATGTCAGTGCTTTTCTTTCGGTTTGTCCATGGTGTTCTAAACATTTTCTGAACCATATTAATTCAAAAGCTCAAGTTGTTTTCTTCAATGATTGTGCGTAAACAAGTATTGTTGTAACTAATTTACCACACAAAGCATTGCAGACAGCTTACCCTGTGTAGGTGAATACCAACTGTGATATCAATGACGTAGATAAAACCAAAGGCGTTCTTCAGGTAACTTGACAAAACATCAGGAAGGCCATCTGCCCCACCAACCCCAGGGCTGTCTACGATGGTCACACCACCCTGAAATGTGCATACATCAATAAGATCACAAGAGGTTATAAGTAGGTATATTTCCATTTGCAAACCACTTTTTTCTAAACAAGACTTATGTTGAGTCTAGTGTGAACAGCCTTGTTTATAATTAGCAACTAGTTATCTCCTCGTTGAATATAATTTTTCGTTTTTTTTTTTTGAAGCCCCACCCTGGCTCTTGCCAGGGGCCGCAATATAGCCTGGCCATAACATGGTTCAATGGCTGAACGCGGTTTCCGGAACCTCTCCGTGGGTGATCCTCATCCACAGGGTGGCACTTCGTGTCATCAGGTGTTTATCGCTTGTGTGATGTCCATGTGGGGGTAAAATATACTATTACTACTAATTGTTTATAATTATCTGTAGTCTTGGTTTTTTTTTTAATGCCAAATGTAATACTAACGACAGAAATAGTGTAATACTAACGACAGAAATAGTGTAATACTAACGACAGAAATAGTGTAATACTAAGGACAGAAATAGTGTAATACTAACGACAGAAATAGTGTAATACTAACGACAGAAATAGTGCAATACTAACGACAGAAATAGTGTAATACTAACGACGGAAATGTGTGTGTCAATAATATTGACAGAGTGTGGTTCGTTTAGTTAAGTTAGGTAAATCGACGGATTACAGTCATGGCACACGGGTGTAACCCATAAGTGCTTCGTTACATCTCTAACTCAAGGGTGAGGTAGAAGTGACTCAGCGCAGTGCATGAACTACGTTGCACTGGTGAGGATACTGAAATACTTTAGATAGATTTGTAACTCAAATTTTTTGCCTGAGCAGCGCTGTTAAGGTACTCTTTTCGATTTTTAACTGCTAAGGGATTTTTTAACATGTGCAACAATACACACGGGTATCTGATCTTACTACCAAGAGACAGGAAAAATTACTAGAAGTCAACGTGAAAAAAATCCCAGCCTTCATCGGAGATTAAACCCGGGACCTCCAGCACTAAAAGCGAATGCCATACCTTGAGACCACGCAGTCCTGCGTTTATTTGAACTCATACCTGTGTGTCTGAGTTCTTTTGGTGAATGACGTCTATCCGGTCGTCTTCTTGACTGTGTCTGCACAACTTTGTTGTGAACTGATGCATGATAAGCTAGATGCTGAAAGGGCCCTTCGGGGTCTAGTGAACAGTTCGGAAGCACAGATGGATCATCATTGTCTGAGGAGAATGGTGCAGAGAGGAATGACTGGGGGATCTGGCCGACCGCTCAAGATGAAAAGATGAGACGTGCAGATAGTTACGGGTCTCATCGGAAGTGGAATTCTGAGCTTGGTGCTGAAAGTGTGGACGGAGTGCTTATGAGAATGTCCCGAGTGCTGTGTTGTCAATTACTAATTGAATATTATACACTTTTTATTTTAATTTTCACGTTCCCTTATTTCTTTGGTGAAGGTACTGTTAGTTCAGACCTTATCCTTTTTTTTTTTTTTCGATTTCTGAGATAGTGCATCCATGGAAACGGTCTGGGCTATGTGGTCATGAAAAGATTCAGTCTCGAGTGAGTTAAATGAAAACTAAATGTCCCTAATGTTTTAAACAGGTCGCTGATGAGAACATTGCAAGCTAAAGTCAGTATTACAAATAATATACACAAGGTCTGACAATTAAGTAATGAGACTGATTTTATTATGGTCAAGACAAAAATGTCATCTATGAATCAAAGCATGGAATCCAAAGAGGCAACCTTCGTCTATGATGTGGCAACTTTTCATCGCCGCTCAATAAGCAGGCAAAAAACAAGTCGCCATTTTGTTAACCTAGTCAGAGGTGCATTGTTACGTAATCAGCATGGAGCAAGGAAAAAAAGCTAACATTAAATTCTGCTCAAAACTCAGGAAAAAAAACGTCATTGCGACAGTTGAATTGATGCAACTAGTTTATGGAGGTAATTGTTTATTTCGTACACAGATTTTCAGCTGGTATTCACAGTGATTCAAAAGTTGTATGGAAATTATTACTAATGCAACTAGACCTGGACGCCCTATTTCTGTTCGTAATGAAAAAACTCATTGCAAAATTCCGACAACGGATACAGGAAGATCGTTGTTTGACTGTGAGGATGACGGTTGATGACTTTGGTGTTAATACAGAGACTATTCGTAACATTTTAGTGGAAGATTTGGGAAAGAAAAAATATGCTTTTCGGTTTGTATTCAACACCTGGCAATTGTTTCCCTTCTTGATGACAATGCACCAGCTCAAAGGGCGGTAGTTGTCCAGGAATTGTTGGCCCAAAAACAGATGTGTTTGTCTCAATCATCCAGCCTAATACCCATATTTGTCTCTCTGGGACTATTTTCTATTCCCAAAATTAAAGTTACGATTGAAAGGACGCTTCTTTGACAATACTGATGGCATCCAAAAGGCTGTTACATCGGCTTCAAAGACCAAAACAATATAAGAACTACAGTGGCCGTTCCAATGTTTGTTAGATCGTGATATATATATATATATATATATATATATATTACAAGGTCCGACAATTAAGTAATAAGACTAATTCCATAAAAATTAAAATAATCAACAGTTGAAGATATAACAAATAAATTATTCAAAGTAAGCCTCGCGGGCATTGACACAGCGAGTGGCACGATCTAACAAACATTGGAACGGCCACTGTAGTTCTTATATATATATATACATACATACACAGACACACATGTATCAGGGGCGATATATGGCATTAATTATAGGGCATGTTTAAAGGGGTTATTTACTGATGTGTAGTTTTTTATTCTGAAACAACAGAACATTTTTTTATGTGTCTCTATTAACAGTCGACACAACAAGAAAATTAGGCGTATAGATATCAGTTATTCCCCGGTCTTCCCTGTGAGTTAGCTGGAGTCTGGGCTTAATGTTCTTGTGGTGTCCGGTGATAGAGGCTCAGGCCAGCACATTCGGCACCATTATCGACGAACGGGTCGTCAATTGGCTCTCCGTAGACGACTTCGACGCAGGTCAGGACAGTATTTGGGTCTATCTCCTTTAGTCGCATCAACACTACATGAATCCTTTTCAGGGCTATTTGGCTGCGAGCGATGCCAAGCCCAATAACCTAGTCACACATATTACCTTAATCTCGCCCTTCAGGGATGATGACTGAAAGTCAGGCTTTCTTTTTCCTAGCATGCCAAGCCAAAATGTGGCCATTGGTGTCTAAAGCTTGTATTTTTTGTTGTTGTGTCCGTCAATAAAGGCTGAAGCTATCACGTTTAGTTGTTTCTGTGGAGGTTGTTTCTCTCGCCTCCCTCCTCCTCCCATTTTTTTCTCATTAAGCTGCCTACTCGTTGTTCAGTCAGTTCGTTTTGTTCAAACAAATGTTCTTTCAGATGTTTATAACAGTCAACTGAGTAAAAACAGGGGGGGGGGGGGGGGGAAGGGGGGGGGGCTGCAGCCAAGCTAATAACTAGAAATTAATCCAATGAGCTGTGACCAACAAGCTTAACCAAAGGGAGTAAGGGGAACAATGTGAAAAAAACAAACAGCAAAATGACATTTCAGCAGGAACCATTCTCAGCATGAAAGGTAGTGCCTCCCCATTTTTTTAATTATTACTGTTGTGTGGTTCATATCAAGACAGTTTCTGACCGAAACATCGATTTGTATGTTTTCTGCACTTTGTTCCCCTCCGCCCTTTCGTTAAGTTTTTTAATCACAGTTTAACGAAGGGTTAATAACCTGCGAAAACAATCTTCTATCAGACATTGAAGACAATCAAAATACAGTGCGTCCACGTGTCGGGCGCAATATTTTGTTTGTAGGTGGCAGCCCTAATATTACACAATCTATGGGTTGAACTGGATTTTTGGGACCTGCCCCCGGGTGACACTTTGTGTCGCCTGGCGTTTATCGCTCGGTGTGATGTCCTGGTGAGATTGAGCGTCAGTAAGTCAGAAGACAGCTAAATTTGTGTAAGGAAATAGTTTAATGAACTAACCTGCAACATCTCTATAGGCCACAACAGCTGAATTTTCTGAAATGGGCTCTCATCGGTGTCTTCGTCTCTTCTTGCGACCAGTGACTGAATACGTTCCAGAAATGTGTCTACACCTGTAGTGGGATCTGGTGTGATCTAAAGGAATAAAGTGGACATTATACGTACTGTAATACTATATACATTTGCATATGGCTGTGAAAGGTGGACCTTAACAGATGAATATAAAAGAAAGTTACAAGCATACAGAGACCACAAATGTGGAACCCCTCGGGTTGCGGAGAGAAAAAGCCACTTTAGAAATTTATGAAAGATGCGTTAGGAAAAATCGTAACCATCCTAATAGACATCTTGTAAAAAACTAGGAACCCAAACAAAAAATAAAGCACAAATCGGTTTTACAATGTGTTAATGAAATTCAGGACAGATACCACCTCCCAGAAAGACGTCAAGGAATTCAGAATGTTGCAAAAAACCTACCACCACATGCTCGCTTTAAAGCTCCAGAAGTCCAAACTAAATTGGTAGGCGAGGAAACCAAACAGTCTGACCCAATCGCTCTTATGAACTCATCACTAGAGACCGTTGATTCTTACCCCCAAGAATGGATACATGTCTATACTGATGGATCAGCATTTAAAGCTACCATTAAAGCAGGTTACGGAATCTACATAGGTTATCCCGATGGATCTGTTGAAGAGATTTTTGAGGCATGCGGGGAATTCTGTTCAAACTATGAAGCTGAAATAATTGCACTGGAAACAGCAGTATAACACCTAAAGACTGTAATGGATGTTTACCCCTCAAAGGTCCAAAATATTGTCATCTTCACAGATTCAATGTCTGCCCTTCAAGCTCTGGAGGGCAATGAACGCTGTAGAACTGACATAGCCAAGATAATCCTGGATGCCGATCAGCTTATTACCTCATACAACATCAGAATAGTGATGCAGTGGATTCCAGGTCACTCCGGCACACCAGGTAATGACAGAGCTGACAGATTGGCAAAGAAAGGAGCAACACAAGAACAACCACCTACAGCGACAACCCTCCAGACAGCAAAAACACTGATAAGAGCTATAAACAAAGAGACTTGGTTGAACAGATGGGCCATGGGAGACACTGGAAGAGAGGTTTATAGACATATGTCTGGCCCTGATCCTAATGACAGCATTAACCATCTAACAAGAAGGGACCAGGCCACCATCTTCAGACTTAGAACGCAACATACTCCACTCAATGGACACCTAAACAGAATACAGCCACAACACTCCCCAGAGTGCCAGCTATGTAACTACCCCTACGAAACTGTTGAACACCATCTCTTTGAGTGCCCAAAACTCATTGAGACAAGAAGAACGCTACTTCCTCCGAGACCAGACAAGTGGAACACCTTGTACGGAGGAAAAGAACAGCTTGTGAAAACATGCAAATTCCGCTACATGGCATTGGGCCAAAGGGCGAAAGCTCATGCGCCGCTGGATCGATAACAACAACAACAACAACAGAGACCACATTACAAACGAAGAGGTTCGCCATAAAATTATACAGCACATTGGCAACTTTGAACCTCTTTTAACTACCGTGAAAAAGCCAAAAATGCAAAAATAACAGCCTCTCAAAAACAATACTGCAGGGCTCAGTAGAGGAAAATAGGAAAAGAGGCAGACCAAGAAAGACCTGGTTAAAGAACCTGACTGACTGGACAGGCCTCAGGCATGCAACCATGAAGTTTATCGCAACTGACCGCCAAAGGTGGAGAGAGTTAATCAGACAGTCAACAGAAACTGGTGACCCAACAACACGTAGTGCTACGGGATTATGATGATGATGAATACTATATCCCGAAAATTCATAAACATTCATTTTATTTAGTGTAGTCGTTAATAGCGGGACATACCAGGCTACCAGGCTAGCCCTTGCTGTAACCGGTAGGGCAGGCCATTATTTAAAAAAAAAAATAACAGTTACGAGGTTGAACTGAGTTTCTGGAATTTGCGTGGTGGAACAGTCATCAAGGATGTGACTCTTGCATTCGCAGAGGTAGAAATAACTTTCAAGTAGCAGACAAAAAGTGAAAGACACACACACACACACACACACACACACGCGTGCGCGCGCACGCGCACACACACCCACCCACACGCACATCTAAAACTGTGGGAATAATTTTTAACCTTTATTTTTCTCTCTCGCGACCCGCTGTGGTGTAACGGCTACACACTCACTTGCGGATTCCAAGGTAGTGGGTTCGAATCAGAATGTAGCTGGCCTTTTTTGTTTTTGTTTTCAAAAGCGAAATTTACTCAGACGGCCTGGCCTTAAATGGGTAACGGGTAAAGTTATGTGAAGTGAAAACGCTGGTGTACTGTTGATCCCATCACTCACCGAGTGCCGATTGGTCTATAAAATACTGATGTAGCACTGTATGCACAAGTGGAGCTGTTGTGGTGTAGCGGTTAGACGCCTGCTGCGGGTTCAAAGGTCGTAGGTTCAAAGTAGAATGATGTCGGGATTTTTTTCTCCTTCAAAATACGTTCTTAGATCCCAGACCTTCAATAGCCATCAGGTAAAGTGTGGGAAGTAAAGGCAGCCGGCGAGATGTTGACCAAATCATCCGTCATTGGCCTTTAAACATCAGAGTCTAGCCGGATGCACCTCTTGTGTGTAAAGGTATCTGTACTTACTTTTACTATGGGCACAATAGGCAAGAAGACTTGGAAAAGGGTCCTTCAATTTCACATCTCTCTCAGAAACATATATAGTTAGTGACGAATAAAAGAGGGAATAGATGTTGAGGCAAACATAACAAATTACTAATAACAACAAAATTGTCTGTTTCGGGTGATTTAGCGTCTTATATTTTGCATTAAGAGTCATGATACTATGCAGACGTTACGAGAAGTAATAAAGGTAAAAGAAACCCCCATAGATAGCACTAAAAGTATGCTATTAAGCACTGGCAAGGAAATCAAGGTCAAAATCTAGAGAGCGTGCAATTTTCTTATTTCAAAATATGTAATTGAGACCCGGAATGTCTAGCATTCCTTGGGCTTTTGAGCTACTGCAAGATTCTTAAAATACCGCGAACAAAGAACAAAAAATATCTTAAATAATTTGAATATTAAGGAATATTGGCTAGTAAATAGCGTCTTGTCTCCAAAACTGAAATATTGTGGCTATATCAAGCGCCACGGCGATTTGGAAAGTATAACAGTAGAAGGCATGGAGCCAGGAAAGATGGACAGTGTCCGCCCAGCATAAATATTGGCACAACATGTAAGTGACACCGTGGGTAATAAAGTGCACGAGGCAGGTGAGCTGACGAGAGCCAGATTTACTTTCATGCGGAACATGATGATAGCGACGTTCTGCAAAGGGCCTGCTATATGAGGATGATGACCCTATAGCGGATACTGCCATAAAAAGTGAAGTGTTAGGCCTTCATACTCGCTAGAGCCGACATTCCTAAAGCTCAGAAGAAAGCTGGGCGAGAAGATGATTCTGGAGACGACGCTGAATCGACAACACTTTAAAGAAAACAAGAACTGCTGGCCAAAAGAGGTATCGCCAAACATAAACACAATACTAGTAGCCAAAGAAAAATAGTAAACCAACACAGAACTGGTGTTATCAGTCGCAACACGCAGAGAGATACACTGAAGATGGGATCCGAGCACTTATGGACTTGACAGATGTGCATTGAGAATAATCTGTCGATTACCTAACACGATAGACCACTGAATATGAGATACGGCCGTCTGTTCCATTCCCGAATGGCATTTTGCTGCCAAAAACATTCTGAAAATTATCTGGTACCTATTTTATGTGCACCTTTCATCATGATAACCTAACTGCACGAAGACGACCCTGCTATTTTGTATAGGTTTATAAGAATTTACACCCTAAACCAGCCATTTTCATTTTACTTTCAGGATTTTGAATTGTTTTGCTGAAGCTAAAGAAGAAGGAGAATAAACCAGGCAAATAGTAATGGGGTTTCCCTTAATGGCACCCCACTCCAAGACATGGAGTCGTACACCTATTTGGGCAGTAATGTAGATAAAGATGGAGGAACTGATAGAGATATTAAAAAAAGAATACAAAAGGCAAGAGGGGCTTTCATAACACTAGGGCATTTGTGGAGGTCAAAAGAAATTAAAAGAAATACTAAACTAAAATTGTTTAATTCTAAAGTCAAATCAGTACTTTTGTATGGGGCAGAAACATGGAGAACAACTAAGGCAATTACTAAAAAAAATTATAGACATTCATTAACTGTTGCTTGCGCAGAACAGAGGGAATTAAACAGTATGAAAGAATAACTAATGTAAAGCTTTGGGAGAGAACTAAACAGGCTCCAGTGGATCAGGAGGTGAGGAAAAGACGCTGGCGTTGGATAGGGCACACACTGAGAAAACAGGAGAACAGCATAACTAGAATGTCTTTGCATTGGAACCCACAGGGGCATAGGAATAAGGGAAGGCCAAAAAACACATGGAGAAGAGAGCTGGAGAATGAGGTTAGAAAGATTGGGAGGACATGGGGAGAGCTCCATGTAATGGCGAAGGATAGAACGACTTGGCGTGAGTTGGTTGAGGGCCTATGCTCCATTGGGGGATAAAAAGGCAGAAGAAGAAGAAGAAGAATATGCAGATGGCATATAGACATTTTCTTGACCTTTGTTGAAGACTATATTGTTATTATTATCATATCTCAAATCCGCAGGTGTATGTCTAGCCGCTGCACCACTGTAGCTGAAAAGTGTGAACAGGTAGAGTTGTATACAGGTAGGTAAACTACGGGGTTTCTATAGCTAGGTTGTCCATTCTAATCCGAAACTAGCATTTCTTTAGATGTGTCCTCTTTTCTAAGTATTCCTTTAGTAAAGCTCTTAGCGACTTGGAAAAAAAGACCTGCCTCGTAGTTTATGAACAATGGTATGAGAGTGGCACTGTGGAATAGATGAAAGACTTCAGACTATATATTCCTAAAGACAGCAGTGATGAATAAATAAACTGCAAGTAACCTTTTTGTAGAGGTGGTACAGATAATAATAATAATAATAATAATAATAATAATAATAACAATACGGATAATAATTAATATAAACATATTTCACCCCCCACCCCCCACCCCCAAACATACTGTTGTCAAAAGACAGACATACCGTAGCTGGCGGTTTTGTCCTACCAGATTCATCAGGTCGGAAATGCACAATGGCTTGTGGAGATGACCCATAGCTGATTTCGACTATTGCTGCTGTACACTGGAGATCACTTGTTGGCATCAGGTCCACCCCAAGCAAGAGATTGACGAGGCTTGACTTGCCGCATCCCATTTCACCTGGCCATGAAATTTGTAATACGGTTATGGCTGTATGCATGTAAAAGGTTACACGTGTGTGTACGTGTATATGTATATGTGTGTGCACGTTGCTACACATATGCAGACACTGTAACATGTGTATGTATATATCTTGTATACAATATAAATTTTTCATGGTATTTAATCGCTTATCGTTTGTCTGCTATTGTTTCCAATGCATCTTTGAATCAACCATTTTGACATCTTGAGGCGGCTAAATACATCTACACAGTTACGTGTGTGTGTGGGAAAAGGGGGGGGGGGGGCCAGGCTTGTCTAATTGTTGTATGTGCTGATTTAGGCTCCACAGCAGCAACGTTCACGTTTTGTTCGTGTTTGTTATATTGTGAAGCTCGTTGATATAATTTTTGTTCGGTTGTTTATTTTTCCTTGATATGTATATGTATGTGCCTGTGTGTGCATGCGTATATATATATATATATATATATATATATATATATATATATATATATATATATATATATATATATATATATACGAACAAGCATAGTGTGAAAATAAAAAGGAAGAAAGAGGAAAAAATAACCTGTATCTGCTTTATGGCCTGAGCAAGCGTATAGAGTCCTAACCTGACCATTTATTCTCTTGATTCTGTGGATGCGCTATCACCAATACCTACGCTTATCGGTATTATAATTGGCTATATATATATATATATATATATATATATATATATATATATATATATATATATATATATATATATATAGTTAGTAACTTGCGTTTCCTTTACGTATCCACTGCAGAATTAACCCCAGCGTTTGTGTGTGTGTGTGTGGCTGTTGTGATTTTTCTAGATAAAATAAGGTCCACTAGTTTATCAATGCTCCTGGACGGTCGGCTTCTCAATACCACTGTCGAAACCGGGGCAAGGCTCACAAATTAGATCAAACACGGCACACTGGCATTACGAAGCTCGTTCGCAACCATTAAGCCACAGACGCTGATGCGTGTGGTACGCCGGTTCCGGGGCCCTATTAGAGAGAAAACAAGAAGAGACTATCTGCCTACCCACATGCATTTCGTAACAACCAACTAATTATGAGCTTTCTTCGAAGTCGGAATGCATCTGCCTGAGAGGCAAGGAACCAACAGTCTGTATACAGATAAGTCAGATCTGTAAAACGGATGCACACGCAACACCCAGGTTCTTAAACGGGACTGCAGTCCAAAAGTGGGCGAACAACCAAAAACTTTCCGCCAGAGTTTACAGCTGGTGAACGCGAAGAAAAAGAAGAATGTCCTTATAATTTTCTCCAGGGTCCGGTTGAAAAGAAGTGGGGACAGATCATCACCTTGCTTTAAACCAGATGTTAATTGAAAAGGTTCTTCCTCTATTTATTACTTCCATACATATTTTGGTCATGGCAATTAACTTCTTTGTATTCCAAAGTCCTTCAAAGCATCCATAAAATGTTTATATGTACACTATCATACGCCTTTTTAAAACCCACAAAATCATTATGTACATCTCTTCTATATTCACAGTTTTGCTCTGCTATTTGCTATAAAATTAAAATCTCTTCTAAATTGTATTTCTTCTGTCGGAAACGCGCTTGGTAATCTCCTAATATGTTGTCGACGTGTGGTTTTAGCCTGTTATAAATTTGTTTCGTTGTCATTTTAAGTAACATGAACGTAACCTGTGTGGGTTTCAGGGCCTCATTTTAAGAGAGACAATAGACACTCTCTCTTAACAGGCAGGTTGTAATATGCGACTAACTGAGGCATTGCTGAAATCAGATGTGCTGCGGAGAATTGTCAGTATGTCAGTCTAACTATGGGACACGGTGATTTCGATGACAGGCTTGATTTGAAGTTAATTCAATTGTGAGATGCACAGAAGGCTACCAGTACTTCATCTCAGACGCCAGTATTCTATGTGATGGATTTACCGACTCTCGCACAAGACGTCCTCGTCGTGCTGCTCGGATAAAAACCAATGTCGCGGTAAACAGATATGGCAGGGGATCCCTGAGCTGGTCCACCCACAGAGATGCAGTGTCGAGAAAACCTCTGGTACTCAGCAACAAGAACAATATTTAGGTGCTGATTTGGGAGTAGGTGTTGGGATCTGGTGGGGGTACTATCCAATCTTCATAAAAAAATATTTGCTGCTGAGCATCCTTATCCCCTCTTCAACCCATTCCTATGTTTTCTTTGTGTCAGCACCTTTGGTTGCTATGCTCTACTTCCGAGAGAGGTCCTACGAACGCGACGTATCTGACAACTCATGAAGATATATTTTATGATTGAGTCCTGCACGATATGACCGTATCATAAGTGCTACTACTGTCAAGACAGTGGCACACTTTTTAGTCGGCAATGCCTTGTCTAGATATTCACAAGATGGACACTACCGAATCAACGTCAGCGATTTTTTCTATGTGAATCTGGAATTTGTACGTTCGGTGGTATATTATTGGTGGGGTTGGTGACCCCTAGAGAGGCAGTGAAGGAGAAAACCTTTGGCACACAGACAGACAGACAGACAGACAGACAGACAGACAGACAGACAGACAGACAGACAGACAGACAGACAGACAGACAGACAGACAGACAGACAGACAGACAGACAGACAGACAGACAGACAGACAGACAGACAGACATCCCCATCCCCTCTCCCATATTTGCTTTGTGTCAAGCCATGGAGCTGATGAATGCTATTGGCGGTCGCAGATGCGGAGAGGCATTATCGCCCACGACGGTCAAGGGACTTGCGGATAATGGCGATGTTACCAACAGTCTCCTGTGAAGATTTTTGTGTCTCCATCCTGATCACATAGGATCGTTCTATCACCTATCAGATCTAAAGAAGATTCCTTGGAAATTTATCAACCGATCATAATCCATAAATCAAGGTCTCAATGTAAAAAACAAAAGTGAAGGAGTGTTGTGTCTCCATCCTGATCACATAGGATCGTTCTGTCATCTATCAGATCTAAAGGAGATTCTTTGGAAACGTGTCAACTGATCATAATCCATAAAAAGGGTCTCAATGTAAAAAACAAAAGTAAAGGATCTCCTCGCTGATGATGGCATTTTGAGCGTAATGATGACTGGCCCATGTCTGTATGCCAATAGGTTTTTATTGTGTGATTTGGCCAACATCATGCCGACGGTTTTTATTTCCGATAATATCTCTAGCTGTTCGTGTTAAGCCGGGTCTACCTCTATGAAACTACTTATTGTTTTTTAAATGTAGTTTCTTTCTTTCTTTTTCTGTCTGTCTGCCTTCTGTCTGTCTGTCTGTCTGTCTGTCTGTCTGTCTGTCTGTCTGTCTGTCTGTCTGTCTGTCTGTCTGTCTGTCTGTCTGTCTGTCTGTCTGTCTGTCTGTCTGTCTGTCTGTCTTTTTTCTTTCCGACTTTCTTTCTCTCTTCCTTTTCTTTCTTTCTTTCTTTCTTTCTTTCTTTCTTTCTTTCTTTCTTTCTTTCTTTCTTTCTTTCTTTCTTTCTTCTTTCCTTTCTTTCTTTCTTTCTTCTTTCTTTTCTTTCTTTCTTTCTTCTTTCTTTCTTTCTTTCTTTCTTTTCTTTCTTTCTTTCTTTCTTTCTTTCTTTCTTCTTTCTTTCTTTCTTTCTTTCTTTCTTTCTTTCTTTTCTTTCTTTCTTTCTTTCTTCTTCTTCTTTCTTTCTTTTTTTCTTCCTGTCTTTCTTTCTTTCTTTCTTTCTTTTATTTTCTTCCTTTCTTTACTATTCCTTTCAATTAGAAATGCTGATTGTCTTGTTTGCTTTTCTAATTATAGTTCTAGAGGCATCTATTTACTTGTCCCCGCGTCTGTCAATCGGTCAGCGTGGCAGCAGATGCAACACTGACCAGCTCTACAGCCTAAGTGCAGCCTGGCTTCCCTCTGTCGCGCTGTAGCAAACTAATAGAAGTTTACTGCCGGCAGATAACATAGTAGATAGCATAACTGTTGCCAGTGCGTACATTTTATAGCTTTGTCAAAGGTTATCATTTACAAGTTAACGGGGTGAATCAGTTAAATCTGTGTTATCGCTGTCTAAATACCGGACTAATGTTAGACATTTTGTATAATACTAAACACGAAATAATATGATAAACAGTATACAAAATACAATTTTAATAAATAATATACCTTGTGGCGTAAAGCATGTATCAACAACAACAAAAAACAAACCAAAAAAAATAAAACCACTATTGAAAAAAATATATATATACAAAAAGTAGAATAATTACGTTACGACATGAAAATATTATGTAAGCCAAACAGGTAAGAGGAAAACAAAACATTCATTGATGTAGTGCCAAGCAAGATAAAACCGTACTCTGAGTAACTCTTATGAAAAAAAATAGTGATAGTACATATAAATGAAATCAGTTAAAATCAGAAAAGTTAAAATGTTTTACGATTATAGACCCAATTCGTTTTCATTTCTGAAAAACGGTGAGTGAAAAAAAGAAATAGTGAAACCTGCGGCTTCCGGGGAAAAAATTAGACCGCACTATCAATAGAAGGGTACACAGTAGTCAAGCTTTATTGTGCTCATTTGAAAAAAAAAAAAAAAAAAAAAAAAAAAATACACAAACACGAATTAATAATATGAGTTTCACAGACACAGAAAAATAAACAAACCAAGAACATTGCGGCATCTAGCCTTTGGGATGTGCAACTAAAGAATGGCAATAGCTGGTCCAGTACTTGGAAATGAACATTTCACTAAGGGGACAAGACGCTTCATTAACCAACACAGAACAGGCGTCATCAGTCGTTTTAAACTTGAAGAGATTTTGGGGAGGAGATCGGAGCACCTATGGATCTGTCTGGAGTGCTATGATGATAATCCTTTCTAATCACTAATCACTAACTAAAGAATAGACTACAATGACTTACCAGCGACTAGTAGAACACAGTGGCTTGACTTCAGTTCTTCTATATGCTTCATCATGCGGGCTTCGTATTGTGGAAATAATTTCTCCAAGTCGCTCTAGATAACAGAAATACTGACAATAATTATAGCGTAATATATATATATATATATATATATATATATATATATATATATATATATATATATATATATATATATATATATACATATATATATATATATATATATATATATATATATATATATATATATAGTGTGATAACTTTGTATACGTATTAATCTATTCCTGGTCCATGGACGTATACCAGACAGTACCAGATCATGGCTCTCCACAATCTGCGATCTCTTGAAGCATGAGTCAGTTTGTGTGCTGACACACCTCCGTGCCATGCAACACGACTGTCGAGAATCTTCTCTCGCTGTCTTCCTCTATTCCTCTTTCTACAAATCTTTCCAGTGGTCACAACATGTGCAATTTTCTCTCTTCTCTTAATATGCCGAAAAATGATGACTGTCTCCTTCTGATGTCTTTGATAAGTTGTCTTCAGCATTCCGCCTCTTTCAAAACCTCTTGGTTGCTCTTTTTGGACTTCCAATGTATTTTAAGCATTCTTCTGTAAAAACAACATCTTTGAGCCCTAAAGAAATTGTTTGGCCTGCCTACCGATTGTCCAGGACTCACAGCCATATATTAAAACTGGATGTTTGTAGCAAGCATGAATTCATTTTCTAACCCTCAATGACAAAGATATATATTTTTCGAGGCAGGATTTTCTTAGGAAAATACAGCGAGGGTTTCTCTTGTCTTCCGCCGGTTTGTATATGGTTTGACTCCAATTGACTATACGAAATGAATGTTCCCATAAGAAATAAAGGGAGAGTGATTGATCCGATTCCATTAAGAAACATCATATTATTACTAGCATAATATACATTGATGTGGTTGTATAAAAATAATTTCTTTACACATATTACTTTTTTTAAAAGTAATAAGATAAAAACAATGACAATTCAACCTCACTTGACCTTGCTGAGAAGAGTTGAGTGCCTAATACGATGTCACTGACTAGGGGAGGAGGAGATGGTATTGATTGAAAGGAAAGTCCACTTCCAATAAAACTTAAGAAATATCAAATGCTTGTGTGTTACTATCTATTTCTTTATCTTTTCTGTCTCTTTTCGCTACTTGGACCTTGCTAAAGCTAAGTTTTGATTTTACTAATGGTCTTCCCAAAGAACTTTGCTTCTGCCTTCTCATCAGGATGTCTCGGAAATGTAACGTTGTCTGGCATTCTAGACTAATCTGGACAATGCTATTGCGACGTTTTGGGGATATGTTTGGATAATAACTCTCTGCAATGCCGTTGACATCTATGATTGGTCTTGTCTCGCGAGAAGTAAACGAGGATAGCGCACAGTGTCGTGACTAATTTTTGAATCAGACAGGTTGATTTTCCAAACAAGGGTCTCAAAGCAATCAACAGTTCTCGCGTCTCCACCAGACGTACACGAAATTGAAAATATACTTAAGCAAACGTATACTGCGGTACAACTGTACAAATATTATGTTGTGTTCGCCATAAATAAGGCATGCGCACGCAGTGTTTACAACTAGGCTGCATAACTTTACATTTCACAGTAACTGATTCAGTCGATTTTGTTCGTTATAAATGATGTGAATACGCCTGTGTTGCCCCAGTCCTTCATAACGGGTGATGTAAAAAAAAAAAAAAAAAAGCTTTATTGATTCGGTGCAAGAAGATTTCGCCACAGATCTAAATTTTTTTTTTTTTCCCCCTTTGTAATTGTTTTCTCCGTTTAAAATTTCATCTTTTGAGATTTGTTTAATTTTAGCTGGTTATGCTCTCATTTTTTTTTTAACGAGCTTCCGCTTCTATAAGACCAACTATGTTATTATTAATTAAGCTATATGCGTTTCACCCCATGATAAAGATTATTGTCAAAACGTTCGAGCGTTATTTTAGCGCGTCCTTATCTGTCCCACCTTTCGTCTGTCTAGTCTTTTAGCTTATCATCCTCTTTGCTTTTACTGGCTGTAAACATCACTGGAAAGTTCTAGTTGTTCGTCAACACCATGACCTTAGAGTTGTTCAAGAACGTTTTTTTTTAAACCGATTGGGTAATTTGCTGTCGATTCCTCACCCCTCGGGCAGATGCACTTTCCAACATCGAAGAAAATCATATCTTGGTTAGTTCGACGTTAGTCTCCCAAAACAGAGTAGATCACTTTTCTTTCACAAGTTTGTTGGGCTGAAGGTTACAGGTATGTCCGGCTCTGTTGTTTGGTTTTTGCGATGTCTTGCATTTACGTTTTTATTCCGAAAAAGAGAAAGCCATAGTAGGTTGCAGCACTCTCTAGGGGAGTTGTGTTAGACACTGTTTCTCCATGCTTTTTGAGTGTTCAAAGCGCTGGAGTGCTGAAATATACAACACGCGATATCAACGGCATTGCGAAACACCCCCGTAACCGAGTGCTGAAGCCACAGGGCTCAGGCACTACCAATCAGAAGTGAGCTATTTTGTATATAAGCGGGATCTGGGGAGACTAACGTCGAACTAACCTGCTTTTTTTTTCTTCTTCAAGAAGTCATTTAACATAAGCTATGTTAAATGACTTCTTAAAAAAAAAAAAAATGCAGATTTACCCACACGGTCAAAGGTGAAAGCAGACACACCAGTGAGAGGAAGGAAGAGAAGCGGACTTACCCGGAACACCTGTGGCAGATGACTGAGACAATCAACTGTCTGGTGATAAATCCCATGTAATCTACTCCTGTTATATGTGTCTTCCTTTTTGGCAGAGGTAATACTGTCAAAGTCTGACTGGGGTAGTGGCTGAAACATGGAGGAAGTAATATGAAAGTTTGGTTAGGTCACGATATTCTCCCCAAACAGAGGAGGTCACTTTTCATTCACAAGTTTGTTGGGCTGGTCGACTTTCCTAAAGGTTAGATGTGTGTCCCGCTCTTCTGTTTGCTTTCTGCGATGTCTTGCATTTACGTTTTTATTCCGATAAAGAGAATGTCTGTGCCATAGGTTGCAGCTTTCTATAGTGGGGTTGTGTAAGGAGCAGTTTCTCCACTTTTTTCGAGTTTTAAAAAGCGCTGGCGTGCTGAAATATACAACACGAGATATCAATGGCACTTCGGAACACCCCCGTAACAGTGTTCCAAGGTGACAGGTTCAGGAACTACCATTCAGAAGTGAGCAAGTGTGTATATGGACTTTTACCTGAAAGTATACTAGTTTATTTGTGATGATAACCTCAGTCGTAAGCATAATGACCTATATTCGTAGTGAGAGAGACTGAGCCATAGAGATAGCCGGGATAGGCAGAAAAAAATAATAGAGGGGTAGGACAGAGACAGTGGAGAGGAGAGGAGAACACCAATTTATTCGTCGTTCGTGAGTTACCAAAGAATTGATTATTATTGCATTTGGAAGCAAGGCGGTCTTTATCAATTGCGATGGGCACAAAAACACACATTCGATTAGAAGAACAAAAATATAGTACTACATTCTGTAAAGTAAGTAGTCAAAGGCGATTATTGGTAGGGACTGTCATCTATATAGTTATCTTCCCCATCCCCCATTTTTTTCTTATTATCTTTTAATTTTTTGATGAGTATTACTTATGCTGCGGTGGTGGAAAAGCCAAGGACAGAAGAAGACGACCGACGAAGAAAAAGAAGAAGAAATAAAAGAAGAAAAAGCAGAAGAAGAAGAAGAAGAAGAAGAAGAAGAAGAAGAAGAAGAAGAAGAAGAAGAAGAAGAAGAAGAAGAAGAAGAAGAAGAAGAAGAAGAAGAAGAAGAAGAAGAAGAAGAAGAAGAAGAAAAAGAAGAAGAAGAAGAGAAGAAAAGAAGAAGAAGAACAAGAAGAAGAAGAAGAAGAAGAAGAAGAAGAAGAAGAAGAAGAAGAAGAAGAAGAAGAAGAAGAAGAAAAGAAGAAGAAGAAGAAGAAGCAGAAGAAGAAGAAGAAGAAGAAGAAGAAGAAAGAAGAAAGAAGAAGAAGAAGAAGAAGAAGAAGAGAGAAGAGAGAAGAAGAAGAAGAAGAAGAAGAAGAAGAAGAAGAAGAAGAAGAAGAAGAAGAAGAAGAAGAAGAAGAAGAAGAAGAAGAAGAAGATGATGATGATGAGGATGATGATAAAGAGGATAATGCCGATAAAGAAGAACGAGGAAGGAAGGAGGGACATAAAGGAGGGCAGAAGAAAGAAAGGAAGAAAGAAAGAAAGAAAAACAGAAAGAGAGCAAATGACAGAAAGAAAGATGGAAAGACAGAGGGACAGACAGAAATAAAAAGAAAAAACAAGAGAAATTATTTACATGTACTAGTACAGCCATTCAGTAATCGGTTATCTAGAGGGGCATCTACCATTTATGCCGACGTGTTAATGACTTTGCATATGTTTCGTTAGTCGAACAGTCTGCAAGGTCAGCATATGTTCATAAATGGTAAGTAAACAAAGGGGTAAAAATGTAACCTCATAGCAATTACTGCCTTTGAAGTTTAATTCTTTGCTCTCCATAAGATAAGAAGAACTCTAAAGGGGAGCATGTACAGCAGGGGTCCATTGATCATCAGTAGAAAGATGCCTCGTCGACGATTGTTTCGGTCCGTTACCATTTCTATACAATCTCGGAAGGTGAGCCGACCTGAGCAATGACTCCCAGGCCCTGATCTTCCCCAGCTGAACTTTACGGGATGTTCTCGGACAAGAACAAGACGATATAGTGACTTGTAACAGGTGCTGTGAGAATTATTAATTTTGTCGCTTTGGTAGCAAATTAGATCAATCGACTACATTACGATCATAGTGATAAGCTTTCAGGTGGTTTATCGGACAGGTGTTTGACTTGGCATATAGACTCTGGCAGTCGACAGAGGGATATTGGCAGACATTTAGGAAACTGGCTTTTAAGGGATAGGACGTTTTTTCCCCTTTTCATATTTATACTAGCCCACAGTATAATTTCTGAGTAGCAAGTTTGCTCATCTTCCTTCTTCCATGTATATACACAACCGTTTATTAAATGGCTGAATTCGTGCATGCGAATAAACTATTCTTTCCATTC